AGCTAAGGAAACAGTCAGTGCTCTAAGACATTACCACAGGACAGGCTTTAAGAGATGGGAATCTGCCTGTCAGATGTGGTCCCTTCCATCTGAAGATGGGTGAGTTCTCGAGGGGTCCTTTCTGGGCCCCTGCTTTCCTACAGGAGAAGAGTGCCCTCAGAGACGAGGCCAGGTTGCCACCTAGCTCTACACCAGAGCATCAGAGCAATTCCAGTGTTCCCTGAGCAGAGGCTCTGTGGCCTTGGTGACAGACACACTTGTTACCTAGGAGATGCAGGCTGGCAGCAGAACCAAAGCCTGCAGAGATGAGAGGCTGTAAATGAGGACAGTCCTTTCGCCTGCCAGCTGCTCACCGGCGCTGCCCTACTGTCTTCACAGGGCCACAGGAACAGCCTGGGCTGTGACTACATATGATGGCTGGTTGTTTTAAATGTCTCTTTTCAGGCTTGTTTGCTCCTTGCAGTCTATCATTGAAACTGGGCGTAGTGTATCTTGCACCTTCTGATTAGGGGTAAAAATAACTCGAAGGCATTCCTGATAACAGGGTGAAGGTCTGACAGGTGTTCCTCCTATTGCACCCTGGAACCTTCTCCCGCCTCTTCTCTTCTATGCCTCCCCATTGCCCGCACACCTCCGAATGTTCCCTACCGCTGCCAGTTCCGGATTCTCTGCATCCTTGGGCAGTCATTGCACTGGGTAGAGAGAAGCTGTTGCAGAAATGTAAATTTCTCCATCTCAGCCAAGGTTGTATCTGTGCAGCATGGGCTGACTGCTTTCCTAGAGTGTAGTATGCCCAGGCTGGCGAGGTCGACTCTAAGGTAGTCTAGGTGGTAGACCTTTTTACGTTCGTAGGTACTGGCAGGGTAATAATGCTTTCTCGGGTGTGCACAGTTCAAAACCATCTCTTCCTGAGGGCATTTTCTAGGTGAGGAAACCTGGGAACAGAGAAGAGGGTGATTCATCTAGCAAGTGGGCCTGCTACTAGTTCTCTGGTACTGTGGTGTGCCTACACTGTGGTCAACAGAGGCAGGAGGAGCCTGAGGCTGGGGAGTGGCTGGTGTGGGTTTTACCAGGTTTTAAATCTGGGCCTCTAGCAACTTTCTCCTACATTTGCCTTCAAGGTGATTTATCATAGAGGCAAGGATTCTACAAAAACAGCCACTCCCTTTAAGATGACAGCACTGTCCAAAAATTGCCCCACCCTAACCCAGGTCCCATAGTGCAGCGTACCTCAGGTCAGCTTGCTGCATCTTTCTCTGCTGTGGTTGACTTTTTGAGGAAGCTAAAAAAAACAGTATGCACTCACTGTAAGATGTTAGGGAGGGGGAACCAACAATATCCTTGGAAGGAAGGAAAGTCTAATCGAATGTGAGTGTGTTCTCCGATCTGGGATTCACCACTGCCTTCTCTGGGGAGCACTGTCTTTAAGATGAACAGTTAGTGTTCCAGCAACAATTCTCAACCTTCCCAATGCTGTGACCCTTTAATATAGTTCTTCATGCTACTGGTGGTGACCCCTCAACCGTAAAATTATTTTTGTTGCCACTTCATAACTGTAAGTTTGCTACTATTATGAACTGTTATTTAAGTATTTAAATATCTGTATTTTCTGATGGTCTTCGGTGATGCCTCTGAAAGGGGATGGGGGTGGGGGATGTCAAATGACCCACAGGTTAAGAAATGCTGGGTTAGAGGATTTTCCTTGAAGCATATTTTGCACCTGCCCCTCATTGTGTGGCGCTGAGTTGGCAGCACCCCGTGAAGTGAAAGGTGGAACGGATCCATGACGACAGGGGCCAGGATGGTGCCTGGCACCTTACAAGGGCTGTGTGTAAAGCTCCTTCTCAGCTGGCTAGCTTAATCCTCAATATACAGGAAGACTTCACTATTGTCCCAGTCTATAAACAAGGACACCAGAGCCCACAAGTAAGGACCACCCAGCCCTGTAACGTAGTAAAGACAGGACATAGTCTTGGAGTATAGTCTTGGACATAGTCTGCTTCTTGCTCTATGTCTTCTCTTGCTTGATATGTCAACAGAAGAGTATCCGGAGGCCTCTGGTGCTTCTCAGTTCCTCACTACTGCCTTGGTAGGCAGCCCTGCAGGCTATTAGTCTTTTCCCTATACCACTGAATTTGTTTTCCATCTGAATCTAGTTGCTGTGGCAGCCCCTCCCATATAGCTACAACTCTCAGGCCAGCACTCCGATGCCACGTGTCTTTTCCTTGATGTTGACTAAAATTACTTGTTTGTCAAATGAATGAAGAAAAGAATTGTCAGCATTAGTATTCTTTCTCAATAGTTTTTTTAAAAATGTATACTTACTTGTGTATGTGTACATGGTCATGTGCACACAGAAGTAGAAGAGCAAGTTTTGAGAGTTGGTTCTTCATTTCCATCTAGTGATTTAACTCAGTTCTTCATCAGGCTTGACAGCAAGCACCTTTACTGGCTAAACCCTGTCACTGGCCCCTACATTCCTGATTACCAAGTTTTACATCGTAAGTGATGTGTATTGGAAGTTTTTATATAGAAAATAATAATCCCCAAATGTCAATAAGTTTGACTTATTGCCTTCCTGAGGATAATCTAAGAGAATACAATAATTGAGTTTTTTAAGTTAAAGTTAGTTTTTAGGGTTCAGTTTTTATAGATCAAATGGATTAATCAGCTATTTGGGCACGTACCTACTTTCTTGTCTCCAGCTATCGGTGATGAGAAAAGTTCAAATTCTGATCTCATAGGCTCACTTCCTAGAAGTAAGGATGGTAAACCGATAAGTCAGCCAGCGGTAAGGAACAGATTAGCAGAGGGATAAATAGAACACAAGGTCGTATGGGTGAGTCTAAGATGGGCTCTCTGACTGTCAGGCAGGAGGATCTGTCAGTGCATGGGCTCCATGTCAGGGTTAGAAATGATCTGTTCATGAGATAGCTTTGAGCACGAACCATTGTCAGGGAGATCATGTGAGGCCCTAATCAGATGGGCAGAGGAAGAAATTTTCATATCATTTGAGTAGGAGCAGGGCAAAGTTTGCTGATGGCTCAGAAGGTGAAGTGAAACCTAAAGTACCCTTTCAGTCCCCGGAGCCCACATGAATATGGTGTCTTCCAGACCCTGCAGGACTAACACACATCTGAACTCACCGTGAAAATGTGCTTGAACCTATACAAATTCAAGCCAGAAAAAAGAAAAAATCCCAGTGTGAAGAAGGGGAAGTAGACTGAGTCCAGTCCCTAACCAAGTAGCTATTTGCAGTTGATACCTTGGGGAAGAGAAAATCCGCTTTCTCCAGTGGAGCCACATTGGGCATGCCAACTGCACTCCAGGGCAGGAGGAGTTGGCCAATACAAAACAGATTCCCTGGTTTTTGTGTGCTTTTTTGGTTCAGTTTGGTTTAATTTGGTATATTTTGTCTTTGGGGTTTGTCTGTTTTGACTTTAGGGGTTTCTTAAAAGAGGAAAAATTTGAAGTTGGGTGTGTAGGGATATAGACTCTTAAGAGGACTTGGGGGGCCAGGAAAGGATATGATCAAAATATATTGTTTGAGAAAAAGTGTAAAGCCAGTAAATGAAAAGGCATTATGATGTGTGCATATGTATATGATTGTATGCCTTACAATTCTAACAGTGAGGATGCAGGCACAGGAAGATACCCTCACCCTGACCCTGGTTCCTGATCAGTCACACTAGCCTAATCAATGAATATCTAGCCTAATCAATGAGTATCAGGCCAGTGAGAGAGAAAAAAAAAAGGGTGGTCGGTGCCTAAGGTTGTCCTTTGGCCAGCGTGCAGAAGCAGAGTAGATACATGCATGCCAGGAAAAGGCGAGCGGGAGCGGGGGATGGGGTAAGAGGGTAGGAAGCCATTAGGAAGAAAGAATCTAAACAGAAGTCAAATGTAATACATACTCTCTCTTCATCTTGACATAATACATCATTGTATTGTGGTTTGCCACTCTTCCTATAAAAGCAAATATTTTGGATTGCCTTTAATTTGACAGATCAAGTATTTTGGGTTTGACTACATATAACATTTTAAAAATAAATTTCCCCCAATTTCCCGCGTTATTAGCCAGCCATCTTTGCACATTAAAATGAATCCCAGTGTCATACTGAATGGGTATACATTCTGTGCTATTGGTTGCTTCTCTGTTGCTTCTTTAAACAGCATGGACCAAAAGCAACTTGGGAGAGAAAGGTTTATTATGGAGGAAAGCCAGGTCAGGGACTGAGGGCAGACACTGAAGCAGAGACCATGGAGGAAGCTACCAAACTTACTTTCTTATATAACCCAGGGCCACGGGCCCAAGGAGGCACTTCCAACAGTGGACTGGGCCCTCCCACAGCCATCGTTAATCAAAGAAATAGTCGGGCAGACCTGCCAAAGAGCTGATCTGATGGGGGTGATTCCTCACTTGGGGTTTCCTCTTTCTAGATGATTCTAGTTCGTGTCAAGCTGACAAACTAAGAGACACAGCCTGGTTTCACTCACAGTTTCATGAAATCAGCCCAGTAGGGGTGAGGGCTCCTGGATGGGCGATAGCATCAACTCACTCAGGCTGAGGACTTGATATTTTAATGTGAGGCACGGAGCTGCATCCCAAGGCCAGGCCTTGCATTCTGTGTAACTCTGTGTTTAGATTTCTTCAGTCACAAGGATAATGAGGCACCACTGACCGCTGGTTTTCCAAAGTTAATCGACTCTGGGAGATTGAGGCCATACCCTGCAGTTAGAAATTATACTTGGCTGTGGTGGCTATAATTTTGTCATTTGTCTCTGGCCGGGCTTGACGACTAGAACCTGATGTAGATAGTGACATCTAGTGGATCTTAAGTAGACAAGCTTTAATTAACCAGCTAAGTACCTGTTGAGGAGCCCACTCTTTTTGTACCCTTGCATGTCCTAAAAATATATCCTTCATATTCCTGATGAGAATGTCAGAAATATGAAATTGTTATGAATGTTGCTTTTCTGCTAATTTATTTTTCTTCCCCTAGACAGAAGATCCAACCATGGAGAGACCCTATACATTTAAGGATTTCCTCCTACGACCTAGAAGGTGAGGCTTGAGGGTAGGTGTAGGGGTGAGGCTTTCGGGTGGGTGTAGGGGTGGTTCTTGCCAGTGGGTATAGGGGTTGAGTTTTGTGGGTGATTGTAGGGGTGAAGATTGCTGGTGGATATAGGGGTTAGGCTTGTGGCTAGGTGTAGGGGTGAGTGTTTGCAGTACTGGTTTCTCTGAGGACAGTTTCAGCAAACACCTTAAACAAGAAGGATGGAAACAAGCCATATCCTTTACAACTGGTTTTCTTCCTGTGTGCAGTCATAAATCTCGCGTCAAGGGGTTTTTGAGATTGAAAATGGCCTACATGCCGAAAAATGGAGGTCAGGATGAAGAAAACAGCGAGCAGAGGGATGACATGGAGGTAGGAGAGACGGCTGCAGGCCCTGGCCACTTCCTGGCTGCCCAGCTCACCTGAATGTCACTCTGAGGCTCTGTCGTTGGAGGAAGTAGATGTCTGTAAACTTAAATATGAATTCACGTACATAGACCCTGAGTTTGCTTTTGGAAGTCCTCCAGTATGTGACTGTTTTAGCAAAAGTAAAATTCCCATTTTATGTCACAACACGAATAATAGGGCAGGCAGCTCTTTACACGGTGCTTTTAGTTATTTGTCTGGCTGCTGTTACAAAATACCCCTCCAAAGCCACTTAAGGAAGAAGAAAGGCTCACGTTTCGAGCCAATGAAGTTCCTCGTGATGGGGAGGTGGCGATTTTGAAGCGTGAAGCAGCTGGTCAGACTGTGTCATAGTCAGAAGGCAGAAAGTGGACAGGGAACAGGATTCAGCTGTGAAAAGACAAGGCCCACCCTCGGTGACTCCGCAAGGCTCCACCTTCTCAAGGTTCCCCAACATTCCCAAGCACCAGCAGCAGCTGAACACCGAGTGTTCAAATGCATGAGCCTAAGGAGTTAGCTTATGGGTTCACAGCCACATAACTGCATCTTCCATGGCAACCTCGCTGCCAGAAACCCCGTGCCCGTTATTGCTTTGGATTTTCAGTTCTTTTTTAGGTTCCTTTTAGCACTTGAAATTACTCTAGAGTGGATTTCTGATCCATTTAGTCCACACGTAACAGCATGTAATACAGAACCCTCCTTGGGAAATGCTAGTTTGCAATTAGCTATCCAGAAGAATGTTCTCTGTCCCCTTCCTGACACAGTGGGGTCTCCACCTTTTGGTCATGTGTCTATGCCGTGGGTCCCATGGTACCATCTCAGCATGTGCTATAGACAGTGTTGTTTCTGTTAGCTCGGTTCCCATATTGTTCTGAAAGCCCCCATTGAAGAACACCTCCCTGGCTGTTTTCACGTCTGTTTGCAGCTGTTTCCACATGTGGGATACTTGAATGATGCACGGTGGGCAGGTTGACCAAACCCCCGCAACCAAGAGGCCACCTTTCCAGGCAGCGTTTCACTGTAGCTTCCACAGCTGTTGACAAGGAACGGGGACTGAAGTGGGTGGCAGGCCGTAGTAGAGGTTGAGGTTTCCCAAGCAAAGCAATGGATTGGTGTGTGAAATTCAAGGAATTGTTTACTCTCTTCTTGTCTTCCAAGTGCGGTAACCAGTGAATCGGTTGATTTTCCACTGGCTTTACCGGGGGATGTTAGGGAAGCAATACTTAATGCTGAAGGTATGTGTCGGAACAGTGTAACTGATCTTGGCACCGTGCAGTCTGTTTGTGCAATGCCTGAGCAACTGCAGTAGTTTCTACACAACCCCTGGCTCACAACTATAACACAGAAGAGGGGAATGACACAGTCATCTCCTACCAGCCCCAGGACATCCTCCTCGGAGACCAATAGCCCTGTCCCTACACCTGTATCCTAGACCATGCTTTCTCTTAAAACACGCATGCATGTTTCATGGTGGTGTTGAAAGGATGAGAACCGTGGCAGCTCTGGCATGTCCCATGTCATTGGCTTTATGCAGCCCTAGAGGTCATTGAGCCACTGTAACTAATGGATGTGTAAAAATTATCATGTGACTTAAGAAACAAAACAGGGCTGGTGAGGTGGTATAGCAGGTTAGCGCGCCTTCTGTCAAAACTGATTTGATCTGTGGAACCCACGGGGTAGAAGGAAAGAACCGAATCATGCAAGCAGTCCTCTGACCTCTACACTTGTGCTGTGCATGCACACATGAGCTTGCATGTAAACACACATACTCAAGTGAACGTTTTTGTTAAATGCAAAGAAAGTAAATGGAGTATCCAGATGTGACTCAGACATCTTAGAAGTTGGCATGGTATACTGGCCATTGCTCAAATTAGTTTTACAAGTCTAAATTGTTTTTTTCTCCTGGAGAGGGAATCTCCTGTGTGACACAGGAAACCACCCATAAGACTCAGAGTAAGGGAAAGGATGTCACCTTGGGATTGTCGTCTTCCATGATCTGGAGCCCAGACTCATAACTCCCATTGACTTTATTCAACAGCATGGATGGGAAGTCGTTGACTCGAATGACTCTGCTTCCCAGCACCAGGAGGAACTCCCTCCTCCTCCCCTGCCGCCAGGATGGGAAGAGAAAGTTGACAATTTAGGCCGAACTTACTATGTCAACCACAACAACAGGAGTACGCAGTGGCACCGACCTAGCTTGATGTAAGTACCAGCAGATGGCAGGGATGCTGTGTCTCACCCTGAACAGCAAAGGATGGCAGTTCCAGACAAGTTTGGGAGTGTGTGTGTATGTGTGTGTGCGTGTGTGTGTGTGTGTGTGTGTGTGTGAGAGAGAGAGAGAGAGAGAGAGAGAGAGAGAGAGAGAGAGAGAGTGAAGAGGCTGTTGCGCTATGTGCTTATCCTGGACTCCTCATTGTTTTGCCAGACACCTTGCTGAGATGCTCCTCGGCTTCCTCTCATTGACCCAGGATGGAAAGCTGGAGGCAGACTGGCTTGCTTTAATGTCTTACCTTCTTACTCTTTTGCATTATCTGATGATGAAACTCACCATAGCTTCTTTTATTTTTATTTTATTTACTTTTCAGAATATTTGTGTATCACTGCCTTGGTATATTTAGAAATGCACAGGAGATTTGCAAAGCCAAAATTAGTAATTACTGTTTATTTCCACATCCTACTAGCTTAGAGAGAGAGCGAGGTGCCTGATGCCTGTTCCCTTAGTAATTTTTGTTCTGATGATAGCAAATAAATAGATCCTAGTTAAACCTCAATTACTGTTTTAAAGAAAGATTTTGAAGTGGCTTTTTGTTAAATCATAGTGAACAGCAAAACTTAAAATCTCTCAACGTGTAGTAAGAGGCAAAGCCAAAGTACCCATGATGAAAGGAGAAATTGCCTTGGGCATTATGGGCTTCAGGGAAGCAAAACAGCAGAATTAATATTACCAAGTAGATATTGATCAGTAGACATGATCAGTTCTCAGAGTGCAATCAAGGCAGGTGAGTGTGCTTACATGTGAGATCCTATTCTCTTCAACCCAAAGCAAAAGAGATTTCCCAGTTTCTGCTCTTTGGTGATATACAGAGTTGCTGGAGGATGTTCTTACATATCCTTTATCCTTAGAAGATTTAAAAGTCTCCTCTGTATAATGGGGGAGTGGCTAGAGAGGGTAGGCCAAGTCAGCTAAGCTGACATTTTATATCATCTGAAGATAAAGCTTACAGAGTCTGGGCCATGAATAAGCAGTCATCCCTGGGCCTCTCAATAGATTCTTGGGACTATCAGCTGTTCTTGGCCATTTTGCACTGCTCTGCACGGCCATAGATTATTGCTTAGACAAGATGCACATAGTGTTGTTGGGGTCCTAAATGTAAGTGGTTTTGTCAGTACTTTAGATTTATCGCTGTTTGTCTGTCTTTGATGATCGCTGCACTTGGAGGTTTGATAAGCCATTTTAAGTACGGTATGTATTTGTAGTAGAAATGTCTTTGGTTCCATACCATTACCAAAGCATCTGTCTGAGCTAAACAGCATGGAAGTACACCCAAAAGGGCTATGTGGTGGCCAGCACCATGTGACCCCTTTGAAGCAGGACCCAGAAGGAATCTCAGTGCCTGACATAGAGCTGAGATAGCTCACCTTCATTATTAATCAGTGCTGTGCATGTGGAAGTCTTTATCTGAGGGGAAAGTGGGTACAGTTTTTACTGAGGTGATTCTGAGACTAGACCTGCCATATATTTAAAGCACATCATCAGTGAGATTGGGTGATGGTTTCACAGGTATGGACTTAACCCAAATCTATAAAGATGTCAGTTGCGTAAGTACGGCTTCTTATGTGAGAAGCAGATCTCAAAAGCAAGGAAGCAGCTTGATTGACAGGAGTCAGTTTACACAGCATCCACTTTACCCTGCTGCAGTTTATGGATTTGGAACTCTTTCTCCTTAGCATTATTTAACGTGTCCAGAAGCCCTGGACCTGCAGAACAATTATCTTTTGCTTTTAGGTAATATATATGTGTGTGTGTGTGTGTGTGTGTGTGTGTGTGTGTGTGTGTGTGTATAAATTTGATTTTTATAGAATATTCTAGTACCTGTCAGAAAAAAATTATATTGTGAGTGTTAGACTTCAGTGCCCAGCTTAGAACAGATAACAGCAGACCAGATGGTTCCACGAGGGGGGTGTTATTTAGGGAAGAGGGCAAAGGTGGGGGGAGAGAAACAGAAGAAGATGGCAGAGAAAGAGGAGAAGTAAAGGCCGGCCATGACTATGTGGAGAGAGGGGGAAGGGAAGGGGGAAGGGTGAGGGAGCAGAGAGAAGCTAGAGGCAAGAGAGTATGAGAGAGAGGAGGGGACAAGCAGCCCCCTTTATAGTGGGCAGGCCTACCTGGCTGTTGCCAGGTAACTATGGGGAGGAGCATATCTGGGTGTTGCCAGATAACTGTGGGGGTGGAGTTTAGACAGAATACTAACAGTGAGAAAATATCTTATTTAAGAGGTTGTATCTAAGGACGCTGGGTAATGATCATGCCAACACCCAAGTAAGAGCTCAGCAAGATACAGTTTTGAATGAAAGATTGGCCAAAAGAAGTCATTTCAGGAAGTGATTTTAGGCACATAATTTAGTATACTATCCAAGCCATAACTACAGAAGGTCTCTCTTGAGGTGACTCCACCTTCTCTAGTATATTGGTGGGTTTTAAAACACCTCAGTTTCTATTTTTTTCTTAATCCTATTCAGATGTAAATTATTTTACTATAAAAATTACAATTTTGAAAAATGAAGAAATGCCATTTTGTAAGATAATTTTTTTAAGCTGAAATCCTAATTTTAAGCTTTTCACTATAAAAATGTTCACTGAGTCTTCCCAGTTTCCCCATCACACCTCTGGTTTGAGTCCTCATTGTGGTCATATGCATGGAGGCGAAGGGGAGGACAAGATGGCCCAGACGGTGAGGCCTTCACCCCCCCAAGCCTGACGACATGAGTTGAAGCCCCAGAACCCACAGTTCTATAGGAGTAGATCCTATCTCCAAAGCTGTCCTCTGACCTCTACACGCCTGTTAGAGCACATGTACTCCACGCATCACACACACACACACACAACGCATGTATGACAGTAGTAAAATGTATTAAACAAGGGCTGTGTGGCCGAGCATGTTCTGGCGCAGTAGTCTTAGTCAATATTGAGCTTGGTTTCAAGGAAGCATGGGTAAAGTGGTGTCACTTGTCAATCATGTGATTTCCCATGAGAGTCAAAGGGAAATTATGTGTGTGAAATTTAACAACTGAAAAAAAAATGACATAGACATGTCTTAAGTTATTTCCCTGTCTCCATCTCACATCCCCTGAAGCATATGCATGTCTACTACTGCAGTATTCTTGGACAGTGAGGAGGGAAAGAATGGTGTATTTAAACCAGTAATGTCAATTTCCCATACCCAACACCCTCAGTTCATCAGCAGTCGGTGTGAATGGTAACTGATTTTGAAATCCCAGCCAGGGGCTTCGTGATAGTTCATTCTGTTTGTCAGCTCAGGGGCTTCGTGATAGTTCATTCTGTTTGTCAGCTCAATGCATTGAGAGCACACCTCTTCTATTCTGTACTGTGACCCTTGTTTTAAACAGGTGTGTAGCGCTGCCCGAGTCCCTCTGGAATAACTATGGGCTTTAAGTCTTGACAAAACACACATGGAGTAAAGTATTTTCAAGTGAGGGATGTGATCATAAAGTTCAACTGTATTCATCCTTAATCATCAAGACACAGGGGTGGCAAACGCCTTTAATTTCAGCACTTAGGAACAGAGGCATGAATAAAAAGGCCAGCCTCGTCTACATAGTGAGTTCCAGGACAGCTAGAGCTACATAGGGAGACTTTGTCTAACAATTATATCAAAAAAAAAAAAAAAGAAGAAGAAAGGAAGAGAAAAGGAAACTTAAAAAAAATAAAGAGGGTACTCACTAGCCTTCTCTTTCTGCTCTGCCAAGGTCATTTATAGACTTTATAAGTATAGTCTAATTTTACATTTTGTTTAATAATTTATTTCATACTTGAGAATTTAACATCTTTCAAAGGACAATAAATACATCATCATGAATACAATATGGTATTTTTCTAACAGCCTACTATGCCATTTTTAATCATTTTTTGTGCTTTCAGAAACTATATATATATATATATATATACTTCTTGATTATAATGATTATATCTATAATGATATCAATTTTCTGAAGATACCTCTATTTAGTGTACAAGTTTATTCTGGTTGTATTTAATGTATCAATATTTTTCTTAACGCAACAAATTTATGTATTGTATACTCAAATATAGTAAATTTCTTTAATTCAGATTTTAGAAATAAAAGAATTATAATTTATATGTGGATTAAATAGAAACTAACTTTCACACTACCTCCTTTAGCCCTAAAGTTGATGTGCAAAGATGTTTGATATAAATATTTTACTAGTTGGACTGTCATCCTCCGACACTGGCTCGTTGAATCTAGTTGCTACCCAGAGGCTCAGGGGGCTCTTTATTTGGGATGAGTGAATTTGAAAGTACTAGAGACTTTAAATCCTTGCTTTAGAAAGGATCTATAATTAGGCTGTCTATTAATAGTATCTATCAGTTCACCGGAACTAAAATTCTCAACTATTTTGAAACATTAACCTGCAACATAATTTGTACTCATTAGATATGGAGTCCGATTGAAACATGTTTGCAGGTGCCTGTGAAGGGCCTTTAGACGTCTACTCTAGAAATACGTAGTTGAGATTTTCCCCAAAAGACCATCGCCTGTCATGTACTGCAAAATGTTTATAAGATACAGTCGACTAAGTCATTTTCAAGGATAAGTTCTTAACTTGGATCCTAACTTAAAATCCTTAGTTGACAATACAAACAAATGAAATGTGACAGCGCCATGTTTTATTCCAGGCTTGTCTGAGAGGTCAGCCCTGCTGTGCTAGAAACAGGTTGTTGAGGAAGGGGGTTGCAATCTTAAGATGTGAAGTTTTTTGTCAAAATGACACAGAAAACAGCTAAAGTAAGTCACACACCACATGGGATATCCCCTGGGGACCACAGCCTTGAATTTGTGTCATTAGTGCCCTCTAGTCAATTACTGATGACCCAGATGAGCTGCATTGTGACTGCTGGGTAGACTTAGAAGGGACCTGCCAACTGAGTGTGTGAGCTTGTCCTTTCCTTCCAAAGGACTGGCTTGTCACAGACTGAAGGACCTGGATTTCTCTTCTCAAATACTGAAGTGCATCTTGAGGAACGTCCATCCCTCTGTCCCCACTGCCCCCACCCCTGTGGGTTCAGCAGACCACAGAGCATAACTATTTGGGGAAATGTATTAGGGCTGTTCTGACCCTGAGCAATGGTCTGTCTTCATTTTCATTCCCTAGACAGTGCAGGATAAGGTGTTTGTGAAGTATTTCCATTGCATAAGACATTGTAAGCCATCCAGAGGTGATTTAAAGGACACAGGAAGTTGTGCGTGTGTTCCGTTTAAATAGCCATTCCATGTTAAGGACCGAACATGTAGGATTTTGAAGTCTGTGGGGATAGGAAGGGCTCTTCACCCAATCCCCCATGGATGCAGGACAGCTGTATATGTCTGAAAGATGCTCTGACTCTTGTACAATACACTGAAGCTGCTTTTTGGGGTTAGGGTGAGCCTGCAGTGTGGTCTAACCAGAAGACAGAGGAAGACCTCCAATATTGGTTGCCTGCTTCTTATTGTTTGACGCTGACATCTTAGTCAGTGCGTGGCCCACAGTGAAGGTTAGACTGTCAGAGGGCTCGTTCTGAATACCCCTTCTCTTCTCACATCCCCTCACCCTCCTTTCAGGGATGTGTCCTCAGAGTCAGACAATAACATCAGGCAGATCAACCAAGAGGCTGCACACCGACGCTTCCGCTCTCGGAGGCACATTAGTGAAGATTTGGAGCCCGAGGCCTCTGAAGGCGGTGGAGAAGGCCCTGAGGTATGTCCAGAGATGCTGTTGAGCTAAGCAGCTACGGCTTCCCACAATCCCCAGGGTGCTTTTGTATTTTTTTTTCCTCTTGGTAAACTGTGTATTGCATGTGGAGAATGTGGTCTGATGATTAACTAATTCCCATCTGAGTATTAGTGGACTTAGAAAATGCTCGTGAAACCCATGTTTGGCCAAGCCCAGTGACTCGTATAAATATCAGGGGGAGAACATGATTTTGGTGTGAAGGTCTTATATGTTTTTGCTTAGTGACTGTTTTTCCCCTGAGATCTAACCAATCTCATGACACAACACTAAATTTGTCATTTTGAGGGATCGAGGGACCTCAGTCACTTGTCTGGGCCTTAGGGACAAGTTTCTCATAAACTGCTTGACATCTTAGGAGAGATTGTCAAAAAAAAAATGTACAAGTCTGAGTTGGTTGGAATATTAACAACTATTCTCTATAAACAGTTAACAGTGTGTTACTGGAAAAGGAGATGAATTTAAGCAACAAGTCAGAAATGATCTTAACGTGATGCTGCTGACTGATCATTGGGTTGACCTTATGTTAGGAAGGCCATTCACAAAATGTTTCAGTGACCTGCATTAGAACAGCAAGCTAGTAGTTTCACCTTAGAGTCACTGAATGTTCTTCTGCAGAACTAAGCTGTTTTCATTAAGAACCCTTATGGCAGTTAGAAAGAAAAAAAAAAATGATATGAGAATTGCTTGTAAATTCTTGAGGTGTTTCTAATCCATTCGTAACAGAGGCTGGCAAAAAGCTGCCGCAGCGGGAGTATGTCTTCACAGGAGTAAGATTGTGGCCACTGGGCCTGCCTCCTCCCTCACTATGCTCACCCTCCTCAACTGACTGCTTGTATCAGCAATTTGCTCTCTCTGTGAAATTTCTTGGTCTGTTAATTGGGACAATGGCCCTATCTTCCTTGTGCTTATCCTGAAGATTTTGTGCCTCATGCTAAGTAGGTGTTAATTATGGCCACCCTGATGGTTGTGAATGCTGTGTTTTATTAGAAGGAAGACTGATAAATAAATCCCCAGTTTCTTGCACTTACCCTAGTGTTTGATTCCTCCAAAGCCTTGGGAGACCATTTCAGAGGAAGTGAACATGGCAGGAGATTCTCTCAGCCTGGCTCTGCCCCCGCCTCCTGCCTCCCCAGTGTCTCGGACCAGCCCCCAGGAGCTGTCTGAAGAACTGAGCAGAAGGTTGCAGATCACTCCGGACTCCAATGGGGAGCAGTTTAGTTCTCTGATCGTAAGTCGTGGTACTGTTAGAAAAGCTGAACATCAGTGGTCAGTCCTTTGTCGTACCTTTTGAGGATGTTCTTGTATGCAAATAATAGCCAAGGCCATCGGTTCTTGACCTGCAGGTCATGACCTATTTAGGGGTAAAACTACCCTTTCACAGGGGCCACATATCAGAAATCCCACGTATTGGATATATACATTATGATTCATAACAGGAGCAAAATTAAAGTTATAGAACAGCAACAAAATAATTTCATGGTTGGGGACACTACAACATGAGGAACTGTATCAAAGGGTTGAAGCATTAGAAAGTTTGAGATCCACTGGGCAAGAGTCTTTTACTTTTACTCAGTTCAGGCTCTTCTAAGAATTTCCTTCACTACAAGAGGCAGCTCTGTATGAAAATTGGCCCTGGAAGGTTAAAAAAAAAGAATGTTGTTCTTTTAGAAAGAAGTGGCATGTCACCAGCTTTTTCTTGTTTGTAAAAAAATTCAAAGGAATAAGATTCTGTGAATTTTGTAATTTCTAGCTTTAACCTTGTAGAATTTCATTGCTATCCCAAAGGCTCATGAAAACAGTGTCTTTGCCATGAGGGCATTTCCTGTTGAGAATCAGGAGCCCCAGAGCCTCACAACCAGTCGTGTAAACTCACACTCTACATACCTCTACCTTCCATTTCACAAACACGGAGAACAGGTATTTAAGTGATCATCCCTGGCAAAGCTTGACTCATCCCTAGCAAAGCTTGACTATGAGGTAGAAACAACCCAAAAACCCAGCCGATGAACTCTTGAGGAGAAAAAGTTTGAAACATCAAGATAGCACTTGACCAGGGTTTCTCAGCCCTCAGAGAAACTTCTAGAGGTTTCAGCTCAGTGAGAAGGAATGAAGTCAGTCACAAAGAACTTTGCATGTAACAGTGCAACACTGTAAGTAAAGCCCGTCGGTCATTCCCATGTGCATACAGAATTAAAGACCACATGTGCACGCCATCTTTCTCAAGCAATTGGACTTACAGATATACTGGAGAGAATGGTGGTTGTCACTATGTTGGAAACGGCATCCTCAGACGATAGTCATTGTGATGAACACACAGAACATAAAATGATTGGAGGACTACACTGAATATAAAAGCCACTAAGTACAACGTTATTAGCCCTTCAATTATGGTATTCTCCTTTAAACGAAGCTCTTGGCTTCTGCTACGTGAGTTGCAGTGACTATGTGCTTCCACATATTAAAATTCTATAAAAGTCTTTCAAAAAGAGAAACACCACCCGGATGAAGACTCAGTACTAAGTGGATAGAGAAGAGGCTTCATATATGAGATATTTGAATTGGTAAAAACTGTTACCATGGAAACAGCATAAGCCACAAAGCCATGTATTTAAAATGTATCAAAGAAAAAAATTGCAGAAATTATAGCAGCTATATACCATTTATATAAACCACATGGGAAAGAAATTCCTAGTTTTCTATGTTGATGTGAATTGGCATTTGTCACGATTAGAGTAGGGAGCTCTTGTATTTAGTGCTTCTGGAAGCCTGGCATATCCTAAAGACCCAAGTGTGGCAGCATATATCCTTGGGGAACTTCCTCCAATGTTGATACTCAAGGCCACTCTGTATTCAAGGGCAGTGGGGGGAATGCTTTACTCAAGATGACTCACACTGCCCAGTGTGGGAAGGCCCAGGTCGTCTCTGACACCACCACTTAGCTTTGCCTGACTTTAACTTACTGTTTGTTATTATACAATGTTAAAAATCATACATGTTACCGGCTGTACCGTGGCTAAGCATTCTTCTAGCAAGGAGCCTTGTGCCTGTGACCTTCTTGGATCTTTGTTCAGATCCACCGGGAAAACAAGTAGGAGGAACATTCTGTGTGGCACACAGGATTGTATTTGGGTGTGCCTCATTTCCCTGTTCCACTCCTTCCACTCAAGCTGAATACAAACCCCTAACCTTTGCAGGGAGGACAGGTAATGTCTACGTGCAGATGGTCATACAGTTTAGCTGGTAAAGAGCCAAATGTTGCTTTTTCTTCCCCCTTTTCCTCCTTTCCTCACACCTGGGAATTTGCCCAGAGCTGGCATCCCAGGTAGCATATAAGACCGTTGACTCTTGTTACTCTTGAGTGTTGTGGGGACCTGTCTCTTTTCCCTTCCAGTAGTCTTGGCCACTTTTTACTTCTAAATCCTGGTCTACTGGAAAACACTGAAAGCTGAAACAGAGCTCTGGAAGGGCTACTGCTGTCACTGCTCGGGAACAGGTGGTGTTTGATTGCCTCCTGATGGCAAAGAGCAGGGCATGGAAGTGTGAACCGGTTCTGAGGTTCTGAGAACACTCCTGCTAACACTGCCTGTCTTTCCCTCCCCTGCAGCAGAGAGAGCCCTCGTCAAGGCTTCGGTCCTGCAGTGTTACCGACACAGTTGCTGAGCAAGCTCACCTTCCACCGGTAACAAACACTCATTTCCAGTCCTCAGCTGGTTCTTTTGTTTTGTTTTTTTGTTTTGTTTGTTTGTTTTGGTTTTTGGTTTTTTTTTTTTTTGGCTTTGATTTAAAATCTTCAGGCCTGCTGAGAAAGAGTTTTTCCTGTGTAAATCCATTCACAGTATAAGCAGGACATTTGAAATTTTTTATTAAATTGTGCAAGGATCTTGGCTTTCCAACCCAGAACCCTACCTACCAACCAAGCTTCCAAAATGCTAAAATCTTGCTGTGGTTTTTCACTCAGAAGAACGCGCATTCTGACCTGCTTATATGACTAAACCTAGGTGGTCCATTCAGCAGCTACAGCTGAGTTTCAGGTAGCTTAATTCTGTAAACTCATGGATCCCTTTGAACAGGAAGAACTCTCACGGCGAGACAGCCTGACTTTCTTTTTGTTTTTTTGTTTTGTTTTGTTTTGTTTTGTTTCCACTACCCTTGGCTTAAACTCTCAGCTCCACAGAGCAACTGCGCTAGCTAACTATAAAAGCAGCGCCACAAATGAAGAATTGGCTGCCGTTTGCTATCTCCTTCCCACAGCTGTGATAAGTCTGAGTGCACATGGGCATGGTAGAGGGGTTTTTGATATCTAATATATGCTAAAGTAAATATCAAATTGGAGGGCAGATGAGCATTCCCTTGCAAGAAATAATTTACAGAAATTGGTTTCTTCTTTGGGAGGTGAAAATATTCTGTGGTTTTAAATGTTCAATTTGATATTTCACCTTGACCTTTTTTTGTTTTTTGTTTTTTTATTTGTTTGGGTTTTTTTTTTTTTGTGGGTTTGTGGGGAGACGGGGGGTTGGGGGGGACAATTAAGACAGAGGTTTGGTCTATATGCCAGGCCAGCCTGGACTCGATAGACTCCAGGCTAGCCTTAAGCTTGCAACAATCTCCTGCTTTTCCCTCCTGAGTGCTGAGATTGCAAGCATGAGCCATCACACCTTTTTTTTTTTTAATCCTCTTTCATGACCCAATTCATTGTGTATGAACTTAAAGATAGGCAACAGATTTAATATTTTTGAGACCATCTTCCTCATATACATTTTTTTCCCTGACTTCAAAGGACGTTTTCATTTAGGTTTTACTATTTTTAAAGTTACAAAATGAAGTGATGTGTACGTACCAGCCAAAATAATAAATTGGGTTGTGGAGTCTATTACATAGGTTGGCTGATAACAAGCCAAGATGGGTTCTGTACAGACCTCCCAAAGCAGAACCAGAGACTTTGACGAGCTGGTGGGGATTCTTCTCATCCTGATGATTCTGTGATTGTCCTGCAGAAATTAATCACTCTCACTCTCCTCTTCAAAATCGGTGTCAGCTTTACTTGCCACAAGGTCCTTTTGCCTGGAAACCATGATTGTACCTTTCCCCTTGTTCTGAAGATGCTGTGCACACACTGACCACCAAGTGGCCTCTCTGAGATTTGCAGATATAAGAATCTGCTGAGTTTTGGAACCTGGGAGCACAAAGCATCACATTTGAAGTGGCTGTTAGTCACCCCTATCAAGGATGTAGTCTGAGCTTCTTTGGGGTGACATGGTGGTACAGAGAGGTCATTGGGGCGTGCTCAGCTTCATTTGGACAAGGCGGGTAGCAGGGAGACTGATCTCATGTCACCTGTCACAGCTTCTCCACAGCAGTGATTTCTGGTTCACTAAGCAATGAACAGTTCCCCCCCCCAAATACATGTTACTGATGTACATTATCATTTAACAGCCCAGCACCCCAACTAGGCGAGCCCGTTCATCAACTGTCACAGGTGGTGAGGAATCAACGGTAATGACCCCAGTTATTGAACACTAACGGTGAAAGTCTGTGGGATGGTTTATTATTTTGATTATGATGAATATGCTCCCTCCCATTTTTAAAATCAGGTCAGTTTCTCTATGGTAGAAAGACACGTGCACTTCTTATCTCTAACTTTCCATTTGGGGTTCATTAAGGTACTGGGTAAAATGGAGCCATTTTTAATCCTGTATAATTCAACTAGGAGTACCATCAAGCCTGGTTAACTGTGATTAATACGAGCATTTCCATAGAGTTTTGTCAGTGTCTTGCTTTCTCTTACTGTTGAATACTCAGTTAAGCGAGAGAAGCCATAAGAGTCATTCAGGGCTGTGTATGTGAGTCCAGGTGTGCAAGAGACTGTGCGTTCCTATTTCCCACACCACATTTATAACAGGGAACCAGATTGTCTGCATCTCCATCATAACCTGTAACCTCTCTCTGCTACGAGAAGTCTGATTTACAGGAATGGACAAGTGTTTGTACGATTCCCTGGGCAGGGAGCAATTAGGATATTTCAACAAAAGCATCTAATAATTTCAATCTGACTAGTTGTTTTTGTTGTGTTCTACTGATCCTTGAAGGCAGGCCACTCTGTATTTGCTGATTTGAGCTTAGATGACTCTTTGAAGATCTTTTTAAATTGTTTCACCTTTGCTGTGCACGCTGTGGCTGGTTATTATTTGTGAATAACTTTAACCACTTACACAGTAGCTGATTCCTAGAGGATGTTTTGCACTCAGTGTTACACAAAGGACACTCAGATATGCAATCAGCAGTGAGCACAGCATAAGGTTGCTAAGCCGCTGTGATTTATGTAACAGTCAAGAACTGGAGAGCCAGGCTCCACCTCGGGCTGAATTCAAAGAAGTCTGCAGGTCTTAGTTGGTCTCCTACGGTTGTGCTGACACAGCCTACTCTGAGTAGTGGAGCCCATTCCATGGTACCAGGCAGACCATTCCATAGGATGGTTTGTCTCCTACCCATGGCATCCTCCTAGTGTATCATTTGTTGTGACATTTAATTGGATTTGCAACCTGCTTATAACTGTGGAGTGTTATGATGGCTCATGGTAGCAAAAGACAGAGTAGACCAGTCTGTGGTAAATAGTCACCCGACAGGACAAGGTCATCCATCTGAAGGAGAACCCATGTGCTTCTGGGGCTGCCCTTTTCAAGCCTTCTTCCCATCTGTGTTCTCCTCCATCAGTGAGTTTGGTCTTTTATTATCTTTGAAGCTTTAGCAGTGGTAGTTCCTAGATGCTCCCACCATGATATGCCATGCATTCTCAGTACCTGGATAGGTTTGGAAGGACCAGGTCCCTTTCTCTCCCATCCTCTCTATTTTCCATTCTGCCTCCCAGTGTGACTTTCCTCTCTGGCTGCCTCTTTGATATATATGCCAGGCAGAAACTGCCTATAAAGTATCACCTCATTCCTGTGCCCTCCCAAACATGCGTGTGCTGTGATTATACACACAGGCACTGTTTATTTAGGGGGAAAAAAATCTCAGCATGATGTTGCATACATAATGCTCAGAAAACTATTTTTAACTTAGGTTGGCTTTTTCTCAGCTATGTTAATAATCATTCAGCATTCAGTGGTGGAAATACACCACATTTTACACACATTTCCCACGCTGACTGGCATTACCACGCTGTCTACCTTCCTTCTATTTAGTGCTTCTCCTAAAAGTGCTGATCCTAATCTAAGGAATCCCGACCTTTTGATTTATGGCAAAAGCCTGTGTACTGTGTCACTTTCTGACAGGCTGTACCAGGGCTCTCCCTTTCAGATAGAAAGAGCAAGGGAGCAAAGTCTTTTGATCTTCACTGAAGAGATTCTAAAAATATCCTGAGTTACCACGGTGGCTGGGTCTGGGTGAGTCATAGAGAATCTACGATGCTCAGTATCAAAGGAGAGTCAGACTTCCTCAGTTTCAACATAATCCTGTTCATTGTAGTTAGCAGATCCCAGCCACTATGAGGCTGGAGGGAGTGCCTATTTAGAATCATAACACTCAGCAGTGTGTCTGATTATGGATGAAAACTCAAATGTTAGGGTCAGCTTATGTTTGGATTGCCTAACTAGTTTCTTGATAAGCTGAAGCATCATTCACACAGAGTAATAAAAGTCTAATCATTGGACCCAAGCCTGGGCCTCTTCCAAAAGATGTCTGGTGAAGCCAAGTCTTGTCATTGCTGGTCGCGTGTCCTGGATAACTGTGTTTTAGTAATAGAGTCATTGGCACAAGTTGTTCTCCATGCTCACCTTAAGAGGATGTTGTCAGAACATATTTTAATAACAGCTTCTTGCGTAGATGTGACTAAATTACCAGTTGCCTATTCAGTTCCCAGTTGAAGGGAGAATGGTCATTTCAGACACATTCAGAATTCTCTCTGTTAGCCTCCTTTGTGTAACTAATCCTGTTGCCTGTAGAGTTCTGTGTATATGACCTGGGTGCAGGAAGTTCTTGCAGCTGACAGTTCAGTTCTGAGATTATAACACATCTAAGCCGTTTGGGTTGTCAAGTGGCTTCGAAAGTGTCTGTTCCAGGAATGGATGTTGCTGATATTTGTTTGTTAAAGTCTCAGTGTTTCTAAAAACTGAGTTTTCTGAGAATCTATCAGATGCCCTTTCCCTAAAGCATGACTCATCAAGAAAAGGAGAGCAGTAACAAGTGCTACTTAATATTCTTTGTAGTTAAAGCAATTGTGCTCATATAAGCCACAGTTAAGTCAAAATGTATTTTGACAAAAGTATTGTCTATTTGCTTAGATGACAGTGTATCAGACTAGTCTTCCAGCCAGTCCAGATGAAAGTCCTGGAAGGGGGTTAGGCTTTGTTGTGGGTGTCTTCCATTTAGGCTGTGGACCACTTGGTCTGTCTTTTCATGGTTATAAAAGCTTACATCTCTTTGTTGGTGGTTGTCTTGCACCTGGATAGATACAGGATGCTGTGTGGTTAGTTGCTCTTGGAATTCCCTTGTCCTTTAGGACTTATCTGGGAAAATGTCAAGGAGCATTTTTAGCAGGAAGGTTCCTTATATATCCTCTCTCCCTGCCTGCTAAACATGGCTTAGAAATAACCACCGAGTCAGCTGCTTCCCAGGTAGTTTTCAAGTTAATTTTTCTGGAGTGCCCTATTCAGCCGTAATCCTTGGTAAATGCAATATACATGTTCTTGCTTCCTCTAATTCAGGGTCACAGGACACTGAGGACCTTCACCAGAGCAGTTAGTAGTGAGCAGGGTAGCTAGGGCAGGACAGAAAGAAGGGTGTCTTTTTCAGCAGGAGAAGAGTCACATAATCAGCCTAATTCCAAGAAAGCAGCACTAGCTGAGGTACTTAAGAAGACTGATGGGAGAAGACCCCACTGGGGAAAGCAGCACCCACAGCAACAGGGCTGTTCCTCAACCTCCCAGAAGTCTTGCTGGCCCTGGTAGGTAGTGTCTTTCTGAGCATCTCCCCTAGATCATTGCTTCCCCAGCACCTTCCTGCCAGTCATTCACTCATCCTGTGTACTCTAGCACCTGTTCACCCAGACTGCGTTTCTCACACTGCTTCTTACACAGGCCAAAGTCTCAGTAATTCTTTATTTAAAAAGATGGAATTCATGCTGGGTGTGGTGGCACATGCCAGCACTTGGGAGGCAGAGGCAGGCTTTCTGTGAGTTCAAGGCCTTCCTGGTTTACATGTGAGTTCTAGGCCAGCAAGACTACATAGTGAAACCCTGTCTCAAAAAAAGAAAGAAGAGAAAAAAAGAAAAAGAAAGACAGAAAGAGAATAAAGAATTTGCACTATGTATTTATAGTTCAAACTAGACATCACAGACTGTGGGAGGACATAATCTATGTCATTACACTGCTATAAACACTGCCTCTAATATGAGGCTCCCCTGGAATCCCTCACCAGGGGACTAGAGGACCTCCTGGGCTAGGGAGCATAGACACCCTAGGGTCCTGCAGATTATGTCCTCATACAGGAGTGTAAGTCAGAGGAGAGTCTCTGTGTCATATTTTGCCTTGAAAGTTTGTGTACACTGGGCCTCAGGAAGAACTATACGCCGGGCATCTACGGGTAGCCAGCTGTCTAAAAGTGTCTAGAGCATTCATTCCTCTTCTGGGCATAAGAATTGGATGGCTTCAAATTCTCTTATGTGGTTTATCAATGAGCTTTAGCAACTGGACCAGGTTATGTACGATACATTGTTTGTCTTTCCTGACACATTGGTAATGGTTCTGTATTTAAGACCTCAGAGGCTAAGAGATGATTCTGTAAGGATGTGGATGCCTTTTGTCTCACAGGAGAGATGAAGCTCTTAGAGTCCGTTTGTTTCTGACTTCCAAATACTCTTTGTTTGTGGGTTGTGGGTTTTGTTTTGGTTTTCTGTTTGTTTTTTTGTTTGTTTGGTTGGTTGGTTGATTTGTTTCTGTACAAACAGAATTAACTTATCTTGCCCAGAGAAATATAATTTCTGGGTATATGTTACTTTATTAAATTGGTCAGAAAACAAATTCTAGTTGTTAAATAATAATAATTTCTTGCACAAACAGCCATCAGTGGCCTATGTACATACCACGCCGGGCCTACCTTCAGGCTGGGAAGAGAGAAAGGATGCTAAGGGCCGCACATACTATGTCAATCATAACAATCGAACCACAACTTGGACTCGACCAATCATGCAGGTATGAAGATCACCATCCAACCCAGACTCAAGGACCTTAGCAGCCAAGATGTAATGGCCAGCATCCTAGCATAGGGTTCATGTCATGTTATGAAGGGCCTGTGTTTAAAGCAGATCTCACCAAAGACATGTGTTACTCTCAGTAGAATATTTGCCTGAGGAAGACTTTGGTCCTTGAATATTTTAATGTGACATAAAAATACTTTCAGAAAATGAGTGTGTGACCATGGATAGCTAGCTCCCTCTCCCACACCCTAAATCTCTTTTTCTCCAAGGCTAGTCATTAGTTGACCGGTGACTTATTTTATTTCTCTTGAGTGTGTCTCCCGAGTCTTTACCCCCCATTATTAGCTTTAATTATTTCCTCTGTGCTCTAAATAGGCCAGAGCTGTGATTATGGCTGTGTTGTTGTTATTGTTGGGATTCATACTCCTGATCACGCACAGGGAGAGCCTCATACAAAGCTAACTTGTTTTTGCCTCCAAAATAGCTTGCAGAAGATGGTGCCTCCGGATCAGCCACAAACAGTAACAACCACCTAGTCGAACCCCAGATCCGCCGGCCTCGTAGCCTCAGCTCGCCAACAGTAACTTTATCTGCCCCACTGGAGGTGAGATAGCCGCCTCGTCCAACCAGGGTCATTTCTGTCCCGTGGCTTCTCTTCATTCTCTCTTCTCTCTAAACTGGACTCTGTTCCTGAGGCAGCTCCACACTGAGCAGTCATGTGTTGGTGGTGAAGGCTGCTCTGTGCAGGCTGTCCACATGCTTCTGTGTCTCTATCATAATCTTCATTCTCATTTGGCTGGCGCCATTTGTGACTACTGGTGCGCTCTCTCTCTCTCTCTCTCTCTCTCTCTCTCTCTCTCTGCTGAACCTGTACCATCCCTGCTGTGTTTGCGCCTTCTTGCCTGTCACGCCATCAGATCTCATCATTCTTTTGAGTAGCCATGCTTCTGTTGGGTTTTACAACATAGTGATCGCTTTGTTCATATTTTCTTTGACTGTAGGGTCTTCCATTGTGTGGGTATGTGTTTCTAATGCGTATTTTCATCTCTTAAGTCATTGCTGGACATCTGCTTGCACGTTATCCTTGTCATGTTTTAGTGGCCGCCCTGAACATCATAAATGGCAGACATTCAAAAGCCAGAGAAGATATGAGTAAATTAAAGTGCTCTGAGGCAAGCTCCTACACAGTGGGAGCTGGTGACAGCACTTCCAGACTGTCAGGAATGTGGGATAATGACTGTCATTCCAGGTGACTGCCTCCACTGATGGAGGTCTCCTTCCAGGCTCTAAAACCGGGCAGTGTGTTTGTTAGACTATAGGCTTTTTGAGAGCAAGGGCTTGTCTTGCTCTGCTCTGAAATCTCCGCCCATAAAATGGTATTTTTGGCAGGCACGGTTGGCAAAGAACTGTGGTTGTTCATTCTTGATATTGTTGCATATCTAACCAATAGAAAGGCATAAAGTTAGAGTTGGTTTGAAAGTAGATGGAGAAATGGGGGTTTGGGGAAGCCTCTCCCTCACTGGTCTCTGAGGAAGAGCTCTCTACAATGCCAGCTGCGTTGTGACGTGTTGGATTGGCCCGTGGTGAAGAGTTCTAACACTCGTTATTATTCCTTAGGGTGCCAAGGATTCACCCATACGCCGTGCTGTGAAAGATACCCTTTCCAACCCACAGTCCCCTCAGCCATCACCTTACAACTCCCCCAAACCACAACACAAAGTCACACAGAGCTTCCTGCCACCAGGCTGGGAGATGAGGATAGCGCCAAACGGCCGACCCTTCTTCATTGACCATAATACAAAGACTACAACCTGGGTAAGGCTGCTGCTTTTATTTGGCTCCATTTTCACCATGAGCTCCAGTTAATTCTTTTCATTTCTGACTCAGTCCTCCTGGTCCTTCTAGAGGAGTGTCATCACCAACTCTGACGTGAGTGTCCAGAGGGGCTAGTGGGCGCCTCAGATGCTCAGACACACCTGCTGGCCACTGGGGTGCTACCAGTATGGCAGTCCTGGAAAGCTCTGGTTTTAATAATTTGTTCCATTTGGGGGCAAGGGCAGCCTTCACATTGCTAGCCTTTGACTTCATTGTAACACATCTTGTGCTGTGTGCTATTAGTCAATGTATTGGGAGTGGTAACATTTGAAACTAGTGTTTACCCTGTCTCTTTTTGTCCTGCACACCTCTTTCTCTCTGGTGGTCATTTCAGATGAGTATTTTGTATTTCGGTGCTACATTTTCTTTCCTTTCTTCGTGGATTAAGATTGCCCGGTGAATTAAGGTTGCCCTAACAACCCGGTAAAGACTTGACTGATCTTCCCAGTGAACATTTTGACCAAACCGATTTTCTTGCCATGCTGATCTTTCTCAAATCACACATGTAAAAGAGCCTGTGCACTGCACTTGGGAGAAAGGAGTTGAGGCCAAAATGAGCTAGCGTCTCTGTGTCCCTCTGTCAGCTCTTTGTTTCCTCAGCCTACTCAGAGCTAGCCTCTTCAAGGCAGCATAGAGTGCTTGCTAGAAGTCCACGGTCCTCCATTGCAGTCCTTAACCCTGTACAGCTGGATTTCTTCTCTTGTTTCTAGTTAGTTTTGATGCAGCAGGAACTTCAATTTTCTGCCTGTCCATTCTGATTGTGTAGAGCAAACTCAGGGATTAATGCTGCCCCTCCAACATCTGCGCTCCGTGCTCAGAACCAACTTGAGTTTTCCCTGGTTCACTCTTCCGTCTTGGATCAGCTGTGCACATGCACTAATGGTTCCTGTTTCTAGCCGTGGTGACTGCCCAGTTGATGGAACAGCGGTATTGTGTTAAGGAAAAGGTTTCAACCAAGGTGACCTTGGCTATCATTTAGTCTCAGCCTGTGGTGTAATGTTAATTCAATCCCTTGAGAATCAGACAGTGTGCTCCCTAAACCCCTGTGGACTGAGGTGCATCGTGTCCCCGCAAGGGCATTCTTAGCAGCTGGGCCAGGCCTGTGCCTTCCTCTGTGGGATGCTTAACATCCTTGGCTCCCACCATTGAATGCTAATGGCTACCATGATCCTCCCAATATACTGACAATCAGGAATGCACTCAAATTTCCAGACACCCCACAGTGAGAACTGAACCAATCTCAGGGCCCTTCCCTGTTTTGCAGAAAAGGAATTTACCTACCTGCCAAGGGCCTTACTGTTGAAGTCTGATGACATTCATTTGGTAAACTGATAACTACTTCAGAGGCATAGAATGACATGGGGGTTTGTTTGACTCACCTTTGAGTCAGTAGATAGTATTACAGGCCAGTGGGCCAAGAGAGTGGCTCTTTGGCAAGTAGAACCATAGAGATTGGTTTGGGGTCCTTTTTCTTTTTTCCTGTCACTGACACAGTAGCTGGACTGTCCTTCTGGTGTTCCCATTTTCCATAGCGCTGCTGGGGTTCCAAACCCTTAGCCAGAAAATCGGAGCTCCAGAGATAGGGGATAAATATCATAAAAGTCAGAGGATTAGTGAATGGAGCCACAGTGGCTTGCCAACATAAGCTATGATTTTAGTAATATGAACTAGCTTAGTAATGAAATCCCCTAACCTTTTCACAGCCTTTCACGCCCCAAGTGCAGCTGGGCAGGATTGATTTTAAATAGCACTCACTTTATTTACTGCTGGCACCGGTGCCAAATGAAACCTGCTTTTAATCACCAGTTGTCTCTCTTTACCCAGACTCTTGCTATTGACCGCTTTGCTCATTTGAACATTGACTTTATTGAAACACTTCATGGCTGCTACCGTTGAAAATCCTTAAGCAACAACTGGAAATCCCTCAAGTTAGACCTCCCTTCCTCAGTAGGCAGATGTGCTGACACAGCTGTGTTATCTCATCCGAGCAAAGACACGGACATACCACATACAGCGCTCTCATGGTGAAAAACAGATTTGGAACTGCATGTCCATCTTGACAAAGGGTGGGAGAAGGCAGGAAGAGAAAAAGATGCTTTCTGAATTCAGGCATGTTTGCAGTTGGCATTAAGAGGCTCAGTGAGGGCAGCAAACTCTTAGATTTGAGTGTTGTAACAGACAGAGGAGGAACATCTGATAAGACAAACTGGAGACAGTGAACATCCACTTCTTCCTGCTTCATCCTGCACCATTGGGTCTTCCCTGGAAGCGTGAGAAGACTCAGGCCACCATCCACCTTATGTACATCTAGAGAGTGAGTCAGTTAGAATCATATCTGCAGGGTGCAGCCTTTATTCGCGCAGGTGATGAAGGCTGTGTGCCAGCAGTCTAATTGGAATTAAATCTGATCACATTTTAAAGAAATGAATAGCAATGAATGGCTTTGGCCTCACCAGCAGCAGTGTGTGCTAGGAATGACTCGAGACCTTTTTTCATTCCCCCTTGTTAAGGGAGCAGCTAAAAGTATATGTGTTTGTATATTGATGCCTTTCATAGGACAAAGCATTGGCCCATCTTTACAACAGACTTCATGTCTTATTAAATTACAGCTACCCAAGTTCCCACTAACCAAAGCCACTGTAACCTAGTGCGACTGTTGAGACTAAAGGGGGAAAGGCACAGTCAGGATATTTTTTAACCAATCAGTATTCTTGTATTTTATATATGTAATCAGTATTCCTGTATTTTATATATTTATACACATACGCCTACCAAGAGGAAGCGTAGAAACAGCAAGTGTGTTTTATCTACTTGATTGATTGATATTCTTGTCATTGAAGATCTCATTAGTATTCCATCTTACCATTTAAGTGTTATCAGACCTCAGCTGCCATGTCTGTCACTTGTCCTGCTCCTTGCATTGTCCAAGGGACAGTAGCCTCAGTAGTTACCACGACATAGTCTGTATACATGGACTACTGGCAACTGCTGCCATTTTTTTTCTTTGACTCCTGTTACTATGATAAAATATGAATCCTTGGCCTGAGCCTACCCATGCTCTAAAGTGTGGCTTTCATACAAAGTCATTTTAGCAGACTTGCAAAGGTGAGCACTCTGGCCCCTTCCCACTCCCCCAGGACATGATACTTTCCATTAATCTTGGCATCTTCCTTTTTTTTTTCCTCTGCATCACCATTGTCTTGCACAGTTGACTTCACTCCATGGCTGGCCTTTCTGGTTAAAGCACCCAGAATCCCCACCTCCTAATAGACACCCCGGGCTTTCTATAAACCTCACCTGGTCATTGGCTACCTTGGATTTCAAGGGTCCCTGGCAGCTGTGGTGTCGCCTGCCCCATCTCAGGGTTAACTCGGAATGAATAGCTTTAGTGGGCTTCCTTTTTAAGTCTTCTGTCCAGTTAGGCAGCTCCAAGTGATAGCCTCATTATCAGCTTCTTGGCCTCTCTAAATCCTAAATTCTGTCATAGCTCTGTGTGCTGCAGTATGCTACAGAATACTGGAAATACTACATCTCAGCCTTTTCAAAGATGCATTAGCTTCAGGGTCAACTTTCCACACAAAGCACTACGATGATTTATGTCTTCAATTAAAATCTACTCTCGCTTAGAGAATGGGACTGCTTGTACTCGTAGTACCCTTTTCTATTCTCGCTATTTCCAAAACCCTCTCACTTGGTTATAATCGAGCGCTCCTGGCTTTCACTGTTGATCTGGGAAGTTGATAAAGCAGTAAACCTTTTGTTAATTTGGCAGCAGCACAGCCTTTATCTGCTTTGATGAGATGGAGCTAGTGTCAAATGTCTCACCGGCTTGCTTTTACCTGGGTTGATGGTGTTATTGTTCCAGCTGACTGCCTATCATTCTGAGTTTTATTTGTTTCCTAATCTTTTAAGTTTAAAAGCTTTGGTTTCTTTAAGTCCCATCACATTCCAATTGGCTCTACTTGAGGGGCAAGTCCCAACTCTGGATCCTCTCCTTTGGGAAGGTGAGTTTGGGAAACTTAGTCTCTCATACTGTTTTTCTTATCTAAAGGAACAGAGACAAGGGATATTGCAAGATCAGATGTCTAACCATTCTTTGCAAAGGAGAAAACATGGCCAAAGATGAAAGAGTATATATTTCTTTCATTGATTTTTCTCTGGCCTCTTAAAAGCATATCTTTCAAGGAAAAAAAATGCTAACAACTTTTATGTTAAGACAGGAATGGGAACCTCATCATCAGAGCTTGATGGGTAGACTCATTCACATCACCTGCTAGCATACATAGAACTTCATAGGATGAAGCAGGCTATCTCTGAAATAGCATGTGGACTTTCTGGTCAGACAGATTCAGAAGGAGGCAATGAAGCCCAAGTACTAAGGAGTGCTGTTCTCCAAGGGTCACATTTAGAGACTGTGAACACTCACCCATCTTGGTCTCTGGAGGACAGTCATGCATTTCCCAATCTGGTTGCCTTTCCCCTTTCACCTTCTCTGAGTCTTGGGGAAACAGTTATCCTCCCATCAAAGGTTTGTTCCCCTTTCCTGAGACATGGAAGCCAGGCTTTTTCTACCAAGCAGACATCTGGTATCTCTCCCAGGTGCCTGGAAACATGGAGGATGGGAAGGTCCTTCTTAACAGTGAATGCACACAGGGAGTCCCTCTTAACAATGAATGCACACAGGGAGTCCCGCTTAACAGCTGTCATGTGCATTTTTTCTCCAGGAAGATCCACGGTTGAAATTTCCAGTACATATGCGGTCAAAAGCATCTTTAAACCCCAATGACCTGGGCCCTCTTCCTGTGAGTATGCTACAGAGATATGAAGTGGTCCAGAAATGTGTGATTATCCTCTCAGTGTTCATGGGAAGACTGTGCCCCCTGCCCCAGGCTTTCTGGATCTATTGGTCAGTGTTCCTTAGAAGGATTAGATGTCAGGGCAGTTTGAAAGGTACATTATAGTACATTACAAGCCAGTGCTTGTAAAAAGAAGGCTTTTAATTATTAGCCATTAGTGAGATTTGTTTTTGATATAGGACATGTGCAAGAGGCGTATACTGCAGGTGCCAGTTTAAGTAGCATGCACTTATTTTGTAACTTAGCAACTCCCGAGCTCCAGCCATATCACTAAGTTATAAGAACAAAAGCCATGAAAATACTATGGTAGGAAAAGTGTAATCACAGAAAGTTTCTCTAATGTCACTTTTGTGGATTTTTAAAAGTGGTTTCCGTTTGTTGTGACTATGAACCGGAAGGGAGTGCTTTGGTTTTTGTTTTGCTTTGCAGTGTTGTTCCACTTTGGAGGCATGATATAATTTGGTCTGTACTGGGTTTAGGATGAAAGTTTTACTGTCTGCCTTCTTCAGCAGCCCACCCTTCATAAAAAGTGCTGGAAATGAGGAGACAGGCTTGAGTTGGGTTTAGTTTTGGTTTGGTTTGGTTTTGGTTCTAGCATTAGTTGTTTAGATGGCCCAGACCAGCCTGGAACTTAAAATCCCCTTGGTCTCACTTCCTGGGTTCTAGGATAGCAGACATGCTCCACTATGCCCAACCTCTAACAAACTGTTTTTTAATGGAAGCTGTTATTTCCCAAAGATAAGAGCCTTTTGAAAGTCTAAGAAAATCTCTTAGGCTGGGAAGATGGCTTGGTGTCAAAGAGTGTCTGCCACACAAGCATTAGGATCCGAGTTCAAGTTTCTGGAGCAAACATGAAAAGCTAGACTTGGCCACATGCACGCCTGTAGCCCCTGGTACTACAGGGAGCAGACTGGAGGGTCACTGGCGCTTGCTGGCTACTAAACTATCTCCAAGCTCAGTCAAAGAAAGACCCTGTCTTAAACAAGACGGAATATGAACAGGAAGCCCAGTGCCCTCTTCAGACTTCCACACACATGGGCATGTACACCTGCATAGACATGTGCACATACAAATCACACACTCACAACACACCCCACCCCTCAAAAACAAGAGGAAATCTGTTGCCTAAATCTTTCTTCCTTCTGAGCCAGATGAGGTGTGCTGACCTTATCTTAACTAGTAGTACCTCAGTGTTGGGGCTGTGACTCAGCAGGTGAAGCACTTGCTGTGAACATGTAAAGACTGGAGTTCATATCCCCAGAGCCCACATCAAAGCCCCAGAATGGGTGTGGCATCCCTCCTGTAAGCTGTGTGGAGAGGCAGAAAGGCAATCCCCAGAACAAGCTGGTTAGCAGACAAAAAGGAGAGCTCCAGGCTCTCCAAAAGATCTTGTTAGGATAGAGAACAATCCTAACAATTGAGGAAGACACCAGACACCAACCTCAGACCTCCACACCCGTTCCCACCCTGTGCACACGCACATGCGCACATGCATAGATGGACACCCACAAACGCGGGCAGAGGAAGGGAAGGAAAGCTGGTCGGTTGCCCAAGTCTTTTAGTTCCTTAGTGTAAATGATGAGAATCCTCAGCACCGGGGCAGCTCACCCACTTAAATAATAAAGCCACTGTTTGCCACACAGTTCTATGAACCCTCTCCCCCCTTCCCTGAAGTACACAGTAGGAATTTTAACTAAATGAACAGTCTATGCTGAACTCTTTTACAGATGTTTCTCAGGTTTATTTTTATGTGTATTACTGTTTTGCCTGAGTCTGTGTCTATACACTACATGTATGCCTGGTACCCACCAGTCAGAAGAGGCATCAGGTCTGCTGGAACTGATATTACAAATAGTTTTGAGACACCGCAGGTGCCGGGAAACAGACCCAGGTCCTCTGCAGCAACATCAGGTGCTTTTCACCTGAGCCCTCTCCAGCCCTCACACTGTACTCTTCGGCTGTTTCCTGAGGTTCCCATGGAGCATCATGCTGGTGTTTCATCCGGTGAAAGCTGGAGGGACTCTTGAGCCTGCGTGACTTGTTGGCTGTGCCCCCTGAGTTAGCATTGTTTGGAATATTCTCAGTGCTAAGGTGTTTCTAGAAGGGAAGGGTCCTGGAGTTTTAGTGTCACCTTGGATTTGGGAACTGCTAACTGATGTTTGTGTTCTCCCTCCTCCTTTTCCTGGATGCTAGCCTGGCTGGGAAGAAAGGATCCACTTGGACGGCCGCACGTTTTACATCGACCATAGTAAGTAGCCCCTGCTGTGCTCACGGGTGTGACAGGGTACAGGAAGGGGAGGATGACATAAATGTGATGGTGAAGCTTTGTCATTTTACTCCCTGTCCAGGCAGCCAGGTGTTATGTGGAGAGAATGATACCAGAGAGTCAGTGCCCTTATACGGTACTGTGCCTTCACCCCATGGTTGCTTCAAAGTAGCCCTTCAAGCTTTCGCCCAACTTGATCTTGTGACCTATTAACTTTTTTATGATAAAAGTTTTTTTTTTATTTTTGTTTTGACAGTCCCTTGATATTTGCGCTTTTTAATAAATACACTCTGGAAATAGAAAATAAGATTAGAAGTAATGATTTAGTTTAAAAACAAAAACCGAATCCACTCGAGCAGTGTTCTCCACTGTGGATGCTTCCGGAGCACTGACCTCAGAGGCCGGTTCTGAACTTATTTTCTATCATGGCATGTGTCCCTGCACCCAGCACACTAATGATATATGCAGCTGTTTTCCTGAAACCTTAGTATATTTGCTGAAGATGTTTGTTTTAGCACCCATGGATATATGTGTGGTTTCTCGTTTCATCTACAAGTTGAACTAATAATGTTTGTTTTTAGCCAGGAGTTGGGATTGGAGGGTTGAGGAAAGTTTTGGTTTGGGTTGGGTTGGGTTGAGTTGGGGGAGAGGTGTTTTTGTTTTTGTTTTGTTTGTTTTTATCTATAGTTTGTTTTTCATAATATTATATTCATGTAGCCCTAAAACTTTCTGAAGTGGGGGGGGGAGCATAAAAATGCTTCTGATAAGGTTCAAATCCAAGTGCAGTTGATGGGATCTGGTTCTGTGTTTTCATTTAGTTCAGAAGCAGGAAGTGAGCTCATGTCTATTGATGAGCCTTTTGCTGAGAATCCTGTCCCTAGGCAGTGCTCCCAGGTGGTGCTCCCAGGCGGTGTTCCCAGTCAGTGCTCCCCGGCAGTGCTCATACACAGACCAGTGGCTATCTGGAGGGAGGAGAGACTTCCTCTGAGTGTCACTAGGGGACCTAGAATACTCCAAGAACTTGCCTTCTGACATGAAGTCAGTGAGAAGGCCTACCCAAAACTCAAAATATTTAGGGGGCAGGGTCTGCCTTGGAGTTAAAACAGATTATTTCAAGATATATAAGCTTTGGTTTTGTCTTAGATTAGGAAAAAACACTGAGTTATACACTTTCCAGCACTGTACTGTGAGCATACAGTTGTCAACATGACCACTTCCTGGGTATGTGCATGAATTACCTCCTCCAATACTATTTATTCTAGATTCTGAGAACTTTCTAAAATGGGGGGAGATTGCACTCTTAATGACACTAAAAACAGTTCTCCATAATTTACCAGGCTTTGCCCTGTGGACAACCATAAGGGATACAGGCCAAGAAATCATTCTTTTGCTTTTTCCTTCAAAATCTAATGTGTGAAGTACAAACTCCCTGTTTTCAAAGGTTTTATCAGGTCAATGGGTACTCCCCCAAACAGCTTTAATCACCTGGTGGATACAAATTAGAAGTTTCCTCACCTTCAGAGTAAAACATTCCCAACAGTTATCTGGCAAAATCCACTGCCTACCAGGCGCCCTGGGAATTTCCTACATTGACACTGGCTGACCTGAGAGGCAGGCTTTCAGAAGCACGGAATGCTCATTTGGACACCTTGATTCACTTGATAGACAATTATGACTGACACACAGACCAGATGTGCCCAGAAGCTGAGCAGTTGGCCAGTGGTATCTCAAATACAAAAGTTACAAGAGAAGTTCCAGTAATTTATGCTTTCCTCAACCCTGCCCACAGTTACCCAACCTATGAGCAGTAGCTAATGTGGCTAGGTTTCTCGTCTCTCTACTTTCTTCTTGTCGTTTGATTTGAAATGTAATGTCTCAGGTAAAAAGAGCATGTTTAGATTCTCATGTTCTTTTGTGAACACTAGCTAACTGTCCCCAATCCATCCACCCGTGGACAATACTTCACAACAGATTCGTTCTGTAGCCCTAGGAACACGTGTGTTTCCAAGCGCTCAGACTTTGTGAAGGACTTTGTCTTCACTCTCAGCGTCTTCCCTCAGTCATTACAAAGACAACACAGGAAGCTCCTGTTGTATGCTGGGGCATGGTCAGCAGTGGAGGGGAGTTGTGGGACTGATACCTTACACCCCCTGTTCTCAAGGGCCCATGGCTGGTAGAGAGTGCCAGGAGGTGTCTTAGGCATTGTGTTGGAAGGTGAACCTGATATTTGAGTACTCAGCTCGATAGTGGATGAAGATGGCTCTGTGGGTGTGTGTTCTCCTCCAGACAAGATTTTGAACAGGATTCACTCTAAAGGGCATGGTGGGAATTGAATTTAGAACAAACCAGATATGGCTAGCCATTTCACACTGACAGTGAGAGCTACCCCATGGGCTCTGCCCCTCAAAACCCTAAAGCCTTTGTCATGATTTGTTTGTATGTGTATAGACATTTACAGGCTCGTGACTGGTCATGCCATGCCAACTTCAAAGGAATGCAGTCCTGTTCTGCCTGGCTGGCATGCAAAGGAGGCTGGCTGGCATGGCATCCAGGCCAAGCCAACAGGTATCTGACAGGATAAGGACTATAGGAGCTTCAGAAGTCTATTCCCAGAGTCAAAGGACGGTGATCAGATGTAGTCTTGAAAATAAATTTTAGACCTACCTATGGAGGAAATCTTGAATAGAGGCAAGTAAGGCCCTAGAGGTCTAGCGCGTGGAATAACAGTCCAGGACACAGGTGCATGTCCCACCCATCAAGAACAAAGTAATGACAATTGGGTGATCACCAAGGACAGGCAAAGCCATGGGCAGGTTCTCAGTCTTGGTAGTCAGTGCATTATGGCACTGCTTTTGTTAATGAGACTTCTGTCATTGTGATAGGTACTGGCCTAGGCAGTTTAAAGAGGGAAGAGTTCATTTTCTCTCACAGTTTCAGAGGTCTAGCTAGTCCTTTGCCCCATTGATTCTGGACTGACAAATTTGGCAGAGGCTACTCATCTAACAGACAAGAAGAGAGTGACAGAACGTCAAGGCTGATGGCCCTTCTTAGTTTTCTCCTTTAAATCCATCCTAGCATCCAGCTTGTAGGCTAGGGCTGCCCACATTCAGACAGGTCTTTCCCCAACCCTCTTAGTAAATCCTCTTTGGAAAAGCCCTCACAGACAACACCCAGAGGTTTGCGTCAATAATCTCAATTCAATCAAATCAGCTGCCAGGTTAATCCTCAGGCTGCTGACTGGGGTGTCAGGTTACAGGGCCACTGGGTGTTGGTGATCACCTGCTCAGAAAGCTAAGGGAACCCAGTACAGGTGTCAGGGATGGAGTCTGATATTCAGGTCTGATCAGAAGATTTGAAAGTTCTCCTGTGTTGGGAGAGGTTGGTTTATTTTGATGACAAACATCCAGTCAAGACAGTTATTACCCAAGCTTCTGTATAAAGGCACGGTTCTGTCCAGCTGTGTCCTGTTGTAGTCTGTGACCTATACCTTATTTTGTTTTTTAATTTTTCCACCTCAGTAGCAGCTTTGAATTTCCAAAGTCTTTCTCTTTTTAGAAATTGGACAACCTAAAGTACCACCCGTATTTAAATTGTATTTATTTATTTTAAACACCACCTGTATCTGCCAGTGTTTCCTGAAACAGTTGAACTTTACATTCATGGTCTTTTTCTGCCAAATTAAAATGAAATTAGCACTGTGGATGTGTAGTCTTAGGAGGTTGGTTTTTTTTTTTTGCCTGTTTCTTCTTAATGTAGACCATTTTTTATCACGAGTGTATCTTCATAACACAGAATGACGGGCTTCACCGAAGCTTTTCCGTATAGATGTTAACATCTGCTTTAATCATAATCAGCCTAGAGCATTTTCGTCAACAATGCCTCTGTTTTCATGAAAGTCCATGACGTCAGAGTTTTAAAAATTAACTAACATGCTTGTTAATGTTGAATCTGTGAGTTACTGTTAGCACACTAGCAGGCTAAGTGCATGGTGAGTTTTCAGAGAAGCATCCTCCCCCCCCCCCTTCTGTTTTAAACTTAGAAGTAATCTGTTATACCCCAGCCTGCCCTCTCCACACCTTTTTTGTCTGAGTGCCCCAGACATACCTCCACCTGAGGCTGCACATGCAATCCCCCCTGAAGCATTTTTAATCATGTGTAGGTGAAACCCCACATGACCCAGGCAGCTGCTCTATGCCATCACCTGAGCACTTCTGTTCTGAAACTGCTCGGCTAGGCTGCCAGGGAACCCTTTCTATGAAATCTTGCTCAGCTATGTCTAAATCTTTTATAGTGACCACCATTGCTGCTTCAGCTATGTGTATGTGCAAGAGGCACACGGGTGGATTATTTCTGTGTTCAGTGTGGAAATCTCTACTTGAAAGCAGGTTTTTCAGCATCATAAGCAAATTTTAAGAAGTGTTTGAAATGAGAAAGAAATGTGTATGTATGTTAACTACTTAGGGAACTAAACCTTATGCCTTTGGAAAATCAAGATCAAGTTATAAATCCTTTACAAGTACAGGGGTTTATAATTGCACATTTACCAGGTTGCTCACCCCAAACTGCAAAGATACATTTTTACTTTTGTTGTGTGTTTTTATTATGTTTAACTAATCATATATATGTTTGCCATGCAATAGCAGGGTTACCTTCTAACTCCCAAATACTAAACCCCCTCCCGCCCCCCAGGGTCAACCCATAGGGGCTTTAGAAAGAGAAACTTCTGTTTTCTAAACACTCTGTTTACCGAAGGGACTAGAACTAATGCGCTGATGTTTTTAATGTTTTCAGATAGCAAAATTACTCAATGGGAAGATCCAAGACTACAGAACCCAGCCATAACCGGTCCGGTCAGTATCCTCATGTTTCTCTTCTTCGTATGAGCTTGTGACTGTGTATTACCCACACTTCTTGTGTGTTACTACTGTGATGGCCAGACACTGGTGAAATTGAATAGTTTAAAATTCACCCCAGCTCCTCAGTGAGTTTTCTAGACAGGGTGCAGCTGCTTGGGGCATTCATGTTGGACTGGGATTAGAAAGGAGGAGAAAATGGGGTTTGTAACAGTGGCAGATTGAAATGTTTTCTTCCTGGTCCTTTAAAAAAGGATGGTTTAAATGGATAATCAGGATTGTCTCCCCTTTTTAAACAGCATCATTATTAAAGATATTTTAATATAGGCTTAAACATGACAATTAGGAGGAAGAGAAGCACTCAGAAATCTAGAAAGATATGCCCTATACCCAAATGTGGATGCAGGCCCTTTAAGAGAGAAAAGCACTCCTCCCTTCCTGTTTATAATCTACAAGACCAAGCCCTGCATTTATAGGATGCTGGCATTTGTTAGGACAGCGGTAATAAATGCGCGCTAGTCAACCTGCATCTCTTCCGCCTTCAAAACCCCATGGAGAAAAGGTCGGGAAGCTATGGATTGTGTCTGGACTCTGCTGATTCACCAACTCTGTCCTGGTGCCACTCACACATGCTGGTTAGAAAGGATCCATCTGACTTAGGGCCATGAGCCCCTGAGATATTGTGGCACACTGCAGTCATGGACAGAGGGAAAGTCCTAAGTCCTCTCTTGCTAGTGACACACTCATCAGCACGTAGTACCTGGTGGGCTGAGGGTGCTGAGAGACAAGCTGGTTGGCCTTTTCCATTAAATGCTCAGTTCTGCCAATTACATAATTAGGTTACTTTTTTTCCTTCTGTTTTTTTAGGGATGTTCTCCCATATCCTCTGGCCTCCAAACTGGTGATTAAAAATTTGCTGCCAACATGATTGCCATTTCTTGGAGGGCAAATATTTCTCTCTTTCTCTAGTGATTTTTTTAATTTTCTCGTTATCGTTGATGTTCTTTGAGCTCAGTCACATGTTGGATGGTGGGTTTCCCCTTATGGATCTCATCTTAGACGCTGGATCATCTGTGGGGAGGGGGTACATTATATCTCTCCTTTGTTCTGGCAAACCCTCCGCCACCTATCCCACACTGCCCTCCCCGCCCTTACTCCACCGGAGCCTTCGCATCTCTCTCGGTCTTTGTTCTTGTCTCTTAGGACTCTCCTCCCTCCCTCCTTGGCTGTACTTTGAGCTGTTACTTGATTCTTCTAGTTAATTATTTCTCAAGGTTTTTGTAGATGCTTTACGTGTCCATTGTGCCTATGAAACGAGTGTGTTTAATTGTTCAAAGTCTTTTGGGGGTCTTATAAATGTTGCTTTGCCTTTTAACTTCTTCTATATTGCCTTTTAAATTGTTCTTTTATATGTTGATGATATATACTTACTGAACACCCTCTCTCTGGGTACCCTGTTTTCCCCAGTTCTAGGGGTACTCAATCTCCTACTTATTATGTCTTTATTTTCAAAACAATTATGTATTGTCTGGGTGACTGTGGTACATGTGTTTATGAATGTGTGCATGTGTATGTATACAAGCGTGCATGTGTTTGTGTGTGTGTGTGTGCACGTGCATGTATCCTGGCACACACACACTCTTTTTTCCCCGCTCTTTCTAGGGTTTTTTAAAGTCCTGGTTACCATTTACAGTCACTTCTTGGCCTCAATTTATGCCACCTGACTACGGCGACTCTGTATCTCAGGCCTACTTGGATACAAGCGTGAAGCGTGAATGTACTCCAATCTCTTTCCTTTAGCATGTCTTCACTTACATTTCCGGATAGAGATAAGACTTTTGTAGGTTTCCTGGGCCTGAGGCTAGTTTTTCTAGACCCTTTTCAACTCTAAGCCTAGGACTTTGTTACAGCTTACATCTGCCCATGAGACCCCTTAGGACAACGACTCAACAGATAAAACCCATTTCTAGCACTGGAGGTTTTACTTGGTCTAAAATTAAATAACTCAGTTTTCAAAATGGGGTACAGAACTAAGCAGTGTTCAGAAGATGAAACACAAATGGCTGAGAAACACTTGAATATTTGACATTGTTAGCTATAAGGGAAAAGCAAATTAAAACTACTTTGAGATTTCATCTTACCCTAGTCAGGATGGCCAAGATCAGTAAGATGAATGACAGCTCATGTTGGTGAGGCTGTGGGGGAAAGGGAGCATTCATACGTTGCTGTTAAGACCGCCAACTTGTACAGTTGCTCAGGGTGGGGGTCCTTCAGGAAGCTGAGAATCGATCTACCTCAAGATCTGCCTGTATCACTCTCAGGCATATACCCAAAGGACTCTGCGTCTTACTACAGAGACACTTGCTCATCCATGTTCATTGCTGCTCTGTTCATAGCAGCCAGACACTGGGAGCAATAGAGATATCTATCAGCTGCTGAGTGATGAAAATATGGTACACTTACAGCTGTTAAGAAAAATAAGAGCTTGCAAGTAGATGAATGGAGCTAGAGCCATTCATCCTGAGGTAACCCAGACCCCAAAGCCAATGGCATGGAGTCTTAGTGTGTGGGTCCTAGCTTTTAAACTTTCGCTGTGTGTGTTCAATCAAAATAACCATAGAGGTTAGAAACCCAGTAAGGGGACAGGGAAGAAAAGATCCCACATGGAATGGGAGAGATAAAGGGGAAACTAGAATAGGACTGAATGGGGGAGGGGGTGGAAGAGCAGGGTACAGGGGGGACTGTGGGGAGAGACTAAAGCGTCATTGAAAAACCATATGGAAACTTACTACTGTAGAGTCTTCCAAAAATACATACACACGAAAGAATTTAAATGGAGTCACCATATGACAGGGAAGGCAGTGTCCAAGGCAGACTCCTCTTACATAAATGAGAAAACGGTGATGAGGACGTATCATGGAGCTAGCTGCTGATAGTCTGTCTAAGACTGCATGAGAAAATTGGGGGCCGGTGATGCCCCTGTCTCCTCCGACTCCACCCCCAGTCTCAGTCACAGTTAATCTGACAGTGTCGTCCAAATGTCTTTCCTCCTTGGGGCTCGAAGGTCACTGTTCCCCATCTGTTTCATCCATCTCTCTAGTTTCTCAGGGGTACCTCAGAGCTGCCTTACCTAGGCTCCCACAAAATAAGCCCCCCAAACTCCGTCAGTATTCCTTTTCTTACTTCCTACCTCTATTTATTCTTTTCTGGATTAATTTTACGAAATAGTAGTTTTCATTCTGACATTTATAAACATACATATTTTGTGCTGGTGCCTGTCTGTGTACTAGCAAGTGTTGGAAATCATACATGACTCCCTCAGATATAACTCTGTGTCTGAAATGCATAGGAAGAGTGGTCAGCTCTCAGGCTCCACACAAACCCATGTGAAGAGAGGCCTGCAGACAGAAGGAAGACCACGGGCCATGTGAATTGTCTTTAGAATGTTCTTAAGCATTATATATGAATAGAATGTCTTCATTGCTCTTATATTCAAAACAAATGACATGAAGTTTTTTTTATAAAGAATAGGGGTTTGGGGGGGTCTGTCAGCTATTTGTGTGATCATGCCTTAAAATAGAATGTAAAAGACAGAGGTTTTGTTCTTCTCTTTGTGGGAAGACCAGTTTAATGAAAGGTGCTGGAGTCTGAAGATGTTTTGCTGAGGGTTGGGTACACCATGCCCAAGTTCATAAGTTTGCTAAAAGCCAATGAGTTGCTCTGACTGAGGCAGTTGCTGATACAATCATTGTATTGCATATAAGGTCAGTCCACTTTGGTTCATAAAAGAATCACAGACCTTTACAGTCAGCTCCAGGCAGTGGCTGGACTCCATGTTACTACATAATGCGGCTTATAAAGGTGACTTAAATCACCACGTTCAAATATTACTTAGCCACATACTTACAAGAACATGCAAGACATACAAGAACTTTTGATGTGTTGTTTTCTTCTGAGTCAGGGTCCTATTATGTGGCCCAGCTGGTCTCAAATTCATGATCCTTTGCCTCAGCCTCTCAGGTGTCAGTCAGATAGGATATCACAACTTTTCAAGAGTTGTATCTAACTGAGACCCTGAGCCCACGCTAGTGGGCCACTTTTTTTTTTTTTTCCATAGAGAAGGTGTTTGAGTTTAAAGGAATTCTTGCATAAGTGTTCTAGTTTCATTTCTTTCACTGTGATAAATAACTTGACCCAAAGCCACCTGGAGGAACTTACAGTTCAGGTTACAGTCCATCAAAGGAGGAACTTGAGGGCAAGCCTGCTCGCTGTTCCAAAGAGTATTACTTCCACCCATGAGGGATGCTGCTTGTTGGCTCACACAGGCCCATGCCTAGCTAGCTTTCCCATACAATCCAGAATCGCCTTCCCTGGGAATGCTGCTGCCCACAGTGAACTAAGCCCTCCTATAAAAATTGACAACCAAGACAATCCGTAGGCAGGCATACACCAATCTGATTTCAGAAATTACCCAAGTGGACAGCTAAGCCAACCAGGACACCAAGTAAAAGGCAAACTTTTTGACTCCTCAGTCTAACTCTTTTCAAAAGTGTCATTCCTCAGATTTTCCACTCTTTGAAAGAGGTTATCAGTCTACTGCCCTTTCTGTTTATGGTATTTCTCCACAAGTTTGTTTCTGTTGCATTGTTGCTATTAGTTTTGGGATGCTGGAGATAGAACCTAGGCCTTTGAACTTCATAAGCAGACTCTTCCATGGAGTCATGCCCTCATTGTTTGGTGTTTTCAGACAGCATCTTGATATATAGTCCAGGATGGTCTTGAACTCACCATCATCCTGCCTCTGCCTCCTCCTGAGTCATGAATCACTAGCATAAGTAGTATGCATGGCTTTCCACAAAAACTTTTTAAGTGACGAGTATATATCACTTGGAGTTGTGTGTTAAAGTGCCATATCCAATAACACTCAACTCTAGGAGGGGGAAGTGATATACATATAAAAGATGCTTTGTATCTGTGTATCTCTGTGTGTTACCCTGACTCCTACTCTGGCAAAATTCATACAGAACAGGTATCTAGTTTGTGCGATGTGATCTTAAGAGTTTCCTTGGCTACAAATCCAGTGTTGTTCTGACTAGCTCTCATCACATCCGGGACTCGGTCCCTTCCTATGCAGACATTATGCCAATTTTCTGTAGAAAATAAAGAATATGAGTATTTAAGGTTTGCGATCCATGAAACTTTGCCAGCATTGGCTCACTACACATAAAATTTCAGGCATATACTTACATTATCTGTGTGTGTGTGAATTTTCTCTTGCAGGCTGTTCCATACTCCAGAGAATTTAAGCAGAAATATGACTACTTTAGGAAGAAGTTAAAGAAACCTGTGAGTAATCAAGTCTTCCAAAATCTCTGTTTTAGCCTATTCCCATCACCCGTTACCTCCCTGAGAACAGCATGCTTTTGACTTGGGAACACTTCCTTTTTCAATGCCCTTTGTCCCACCCAGATCTTTGATCTGAATTTTCCTTCTAACAGAAATGATAAGTGAAGACTAGCTCAGTGTTACATTATCACATCACCTAAAAGGCAACTTCCTATGTGATATATTAACCCATCATATGATTCTTATGGAATAGAAAATAATTCAAGACCAAAGTCAAGAAATCTGGGGAGACCACATTGAATTACACCTCTTTATGTCTGAGGTGCAATTTTAACTATATAACTAACATTTTAACAAGGTATATTTTTACAGCATATAATTATGTTACTTGGTAGTGTTGAGCCCAAGTGTAATTATCATCATCAGCAACAACAACATTTTACAACCAAGAGACCCTGGAAGGTTTATACGGGCAATGCTGAGTTTGATACTGTACTTACTATCGTCATGCCTCCCCACCTCCAACCTTATGTCTTCTGTGTTTGTTACCTCTGGTGTGGATCTTAGTTTTGCTCTCATTTTGCTCAGAAACTTGATGCCTTCTGGCCAAGGAGATTATGAGCCCCAACATAACTCTTCCCTTGCCTGAGGCTGCCACCGTCTCTCTGCTCCCTCCCTGTTGACGTTCTAGTTCTGAGCTTTGTCCTTGGTAAAGAAGTACTGGCCACTTCTGCTCTCACTCAGAATCTGCCATCTGTCCCATGGTTGTGACTCAAGTTCTTCATTCATAACTAGAGACTTTTTGTCCTTGAAGCTCACATTGGCACCTACAGCAGTGTTTCTTTGTGAGTTATCCTTGTGTCCTCCAGTCACAAGCATCTCCATGGCTATTATCCATGCAGGGCAAGGCCTAGCCAGGACTTCATCCTTCCTTCCAGAAAGCTATCTGCACATCTCACTCAAGCGCTGGGGTTACATTCAACCAACTTTGAGTTCATGGATGTTCCGCCCAAACTTAGTAGGATGCTGGGCCCCACATCCCACAACAGCGCAGTGAACTTGCAGGCAACATGCCTTACATCTCCCAGCTGCAATTCCTACCAGAGATCAGACTGTTTCCAGCTTGCCTGGAGGCTATGATGCCATCGGATTAAGTTTTATTTCTTTCTTTGACTGAACCAGTATTCCAAGATGCCTGTAGGGGAAATGCCTATGTCTCCATAGTGGTAAGGATGAATTTCTGGGGTCAGCAAATGTTCTCCTGAAGATTATGTGGGTGATTCGGCCTGAGCAGCTCTGAATGACCGCTTCTCTGTGTCCCATCTTGACACAGGGAGGTTCTCCCTCTGTGAGAGGACAAACCTGTAAAAGGGAAACTCTCAGGGGAGCCAGTTGTCACTGCACATTTATCTGAAGGCCACCATTACTTCTGCTCTTTGGCTATTTTCCTCTAAGGCAGATGTGTGTGTGTGTGTGTGTGTGTGTGTGTGTGTGTGTGTGTGTGTGTACTGTATGATCATGAACTTGTCTTTTCATCTTTCATCTAGGCTGATATTCCAAACAGGTTTGAAATGAAGCTTCACAGAAACAACATATTTGAAGAGTCCTATCGGAGGATTATGTCTGTAAAGAGACCTGACGTCCTAAAGGCTAGACTGTGGATTGAGTTTGAATCAGAGAAAGGCCTGGACTATGGGGGCGTGGCCAGAGAATGGTTCTTCTTACTGTCCAAAGAGATGTTTAACCCCTACTATGGCCTCTTCGAGTACTCTGCCACGTAAGTGCATAGAAGACATTTGTGCTGTGTGCCCCTCCCTGCAGCTGGTACAGCTTTCTTCTTAAGGAATTTAACACATAATTAAAAGACGAGTAATTCACCCATTTGAGATTTCAGTCCCTCCTTACCCTACCACCCTAACAAGTCTAAAAACAAGTTCTTGATCCAGTATGGCGAAGCACTATACACTGTGAACACCTGAAACTGATTCTTCTCTTGTCAGTTAGTTTGGCTCATGGAACTGAAACTGGAAATATGTCAGGTAATTACAGAAGGAGCAAGGCAGTTTTCACCGTAGTGCCATTCTGATATAAGGAAAAGGTTTATTAGTGTCAGAATTCAGAGGCATATGAACAAGAATCATTCCTGAAGCCACACTACTTAAAAGGCAAGCCCATGCTTTTTGAAGGCCCATGCTTGGGATACAAAGGCCAATACCCTGGTCCCATAGTAGAAGAAGAACCAGGCTGTGCCTTACATGGGGACTTCATCATTACCCACCAAGGGAACTGAGGCAGATTGAATCGTTTTCTCAGCAAACATTTGGCTCCTGTTGTCTCCAGGCTGAGAATGCTTAAGAGCATGAGGCCAGTCTTGAACTCCCAATAGAATAGTTGATCTTGGCAAAAGAGACATTTATTTAGCCTTGCTCCAGAGTGGATCACAATTGATGTGGCTTCTCTTGCATCTTCCTCCTGGTGTCTGTTTCTCAGGGCTCATTTAGAAGACTGCCTCAGGACAGTCTTCAGTTGATCTAGCCCCAAATTGCCTTGGTTAGTTGAAGTTCTTAGTGAGGCTTCTGAGAGAGTCCACTCATAACACCACTAGTAGAAAGCAGAGAGGACCCAAGATCCTTCCCTCTCCCTGCATCTCTTAGATTCCTCCTAAAAGCCAGTCTGTGCTGCCCCTTGAAAGCCCCTTGTCCTCATGATTGTAAGACCACTGGGGACCACTGAGTGTGCCCTGGCGCTTGCATTGCCAAGACAGCCAGGTTCTTTTCCCATGGCTCTTAAGATCAGGTAAACCAAGAGTTGGACCTTTAGGGAAAATTCCCACATCGAAAGCCTTTCAGAGGAGTTAACCTCTGGTCACAGAAACCAGCTACAGAGCTTGTGTGCTTGAAAATCTCTGCACACACTTTACCACTGTGATGGTTCCCTGCTTCTCAAGATGTCTGGTTGACCCACTTGAAATTGACATTGTGTGCATGTCTGTCCATACATGCATGTACAAGTTTGTAAGTACGAATGTGCTTACATACACGTATGTATGAGGGCCAAAGAACAACCACAGGCATCCTTACTTTGTGTTTAAGACAGTCTCTCACCGGCCTGGAACTTCCCAGAAAGCTAGGCGGCCAGAAAGCCTCCAGGGAGTCTTCTGTTTTGGCTACCTAGGCCCTGGAATTACAAGCATGGGCTATCATAGCTGGCTTTTAAAAACTGTGTTCTGAGGATCAAACTGAAAGCCCCAGGTTTGCAAGGCAAGAACTTTATGACCGAGCAGTCATCCCTAAAACTGCCATTTCTATAGATGAAAATTAGCTGACCATGAGCAGTTCCCGTAGCTTACCTGCTCCAGTAACCCGTAACTGTCAATTACAGAAAGCAGTGGCTGACTAATGGGTTGCATCTCCTAGCTCATATCAGTTGCCACAAAGTCCCCAAGGTTGCCCACGCACTGTAAAATGAAGCAATGGGTGGCAAAGGGGAGTTCAGTTTCTTGAATTTCTTTCATTTAAGTGTGACTGGACTTTTCTCTTTCTCCCCAAAGGGACAACTACACACTTCAGATCAATCCCAACTCAGGCCTCTGTAATGAAGACCATTTGTCCTACTTCACTTTCATCGGAAGAGTTGCTGGCCTGGCGGTGTTTCATGGGAAACTCTTAGATGGTATGTCACTACTAAATCTTGTGGTAATAAAGTAAGGTGGTTCCATTTGTGGGTCAGCAATCCAGTATCTGAGCCCACGTGTGGATAGTAAGTAAGGGCGTCCCTGGTTTTCTGTAGCTGAGTTTCCTCTGGGGATTGAACCCAGTGTCTTCGTCACTCACTTAGAACCCCAGCCTATAGTATGCTGTCTTACCATTTCCCCCTAACAGTAGTCTTCTGATACAGTCTTGGGCACTGAAGACAAAGCATCTATCTCTACTCAGGTTTCTAACTGCTAAGTATGAAGCATAAATCAGTCTATGAGTTTTCTGGGACACCTTCCCTCTGGTAAGAGCTAGATCCAGTGACAGATGGAAATTTTCATTGTAAAGTTAATTTAAATGATCTAATCTGTCAGCAGCCTGCTATTGCTCCATTTCCCCCAAATCAGTTTTTAATGATTTCAGAGTAACATGACCACTCAGCTAAGGCCTTAACCCTAGAGTGTCTTCTGAAGAAGACAGAACAAATTAGCTGTGTCCTTGAGTGGAAATACAGAACTCCAGGGCATGAGAAGTGAGGCCTCAAACCTTCAGCTGCGGGGACCAAAGCCTGTCCGACAGATTTTTGGTGGTCTTAGCAGTTTCAAAAGCACTGCCCTTTCATGAAAGGTTGCTACAAAAATGATCAGTGAGCAAAGAAATCATTAGAAAAAAATTTTTAAATGTGGGTGTAAAATGGATGGAGAGAACGTTTTAGTTACAGTGGAGAGGGCTATTTGCCAGGGAACATGGCTAATTGCCTTTACAGAGTTTGAGTTACACCAGTAAATAATTGATGGACCCTCCAAACTTTTCTTTCAACATATTTGTACTACTAATGGCTAGCTAATTGTGATTCTCTGTTATCAATATTTTATTTTGCAAGGGGATGGTGGACACTGTTTCTGACTTTCTCTGTCCCTGGATGCATAAGGTGCATGCTCCTTTTTGATTCACTCTTCAAGTGTGTATGCAGTTGGTGCTTACTTCTGATTTTCTATTCCTGTGTGTATACAGTAAGCACTTCTTTCTAACCCTTGTCCCTTGTGTGCATGTATACAGTAAGCACTTCTTTCTGACTCTGTTCATTATGTGATACAGTTCATTGTTTACTTCAAATCCCTCCTTTGCTTATGTCAGTCAACCCGCTTCTACTTTCTGAGAAGGTCAGCTCACTTACCTTCCACCAAGCAAAAAGACACTGTTAGTTGCAGTAGGGGAATATAGATATATGTAAAATGTGGTCCTGACTTCATATTTAATGGAGAAAAGGAAAGAGGGAAAAGGCAAACAGCAAGGACACATTGGTCACTTTCCCTGGTTTGGCAAGAGGAGGCACAGAAGCACTCTTCCTTGGGCTGAGTGTCCTGGAAGCATCAGAAGCCAGGTTAATTTCAGGACTAGCCAGCATGCAGCCCTGCAGTGGGAACAATGGTTAGAGGCAAGGATGGATGGAGACCCGAGATGACTGAGGCAGTTCCCACAGGCAAGAACACATGGCAGGGGTCTGCAGGTCTTCAGTTTCTCAGCATATGAATGCCCTGGTCTCAGCCCCCATGGTCAGCTTCATGCCTTCACCTCACTAGACAGTGAAGTGTGCCATCTATGGCCCTGGGACTACACTAAGCCAAAATGAGGGCCCTGGGGCCCCATATCTGGAGGCAAAGGTAGAAGGACTTCCAAAAAGATATCTACTGAGTAGGGAAGTCTCTGCCATGGCTTCCCTGTGCCTTTGGCAACCCTTGTGGACAATTGCACAAGCCTGCACAGGGGCCTCTGTCAACACCAGTGTCCAGGACCTGGCACTGAAATACACTCAGAGCTTGCCTAGCCCCATTGACTCAGCACTGCCCTGGGAGAAGTCCTCTCTGCTCAGCCTCCCTGAGACACTGTACTTGCATAAAGGCCCTCCGCTGACACAGGTTTTTCTCATAAGCTTTGTAATCACAGGCTCTGGCTTGACCCCGAGCTTGTTTTCATCTGCTGTTAAATCATCTCTTGGTACAGATGCCCTTCTCCCTACCCTCCACTGCTTCCTAGATCCTCTTCCTCGGTGTTATTTCTGTTGTGATAAAACATCCTTATAAAAAGCAACTTGGGAAGAAAGGGGTTTATTCAGATTAGAGTTCTAAGTTACTTTTCATCGTTAGGAGAAGTCAAGGCAGGAACCCAAGCATCTGGTCACATAACATCCACAGGTAAGAGCATAGAGAAGACAAGCACATTCTTAGTGTGTTCAGGATGCCTTTCTTGGGAATGGTGCCTCCAGCAATGGGCTAGATCTTCCTACAGTTGAGACAGTCACAGATAAGCCTCCAAACTAAACTGATCAAGGTTACTCTTCATGGAGACCTCCTTTCTAGGTAATCCTAGATTCTCTTAGGTTAACAGCTAAAACTAACCACTGTTCTCTCCTAACTTGTTCATGGGTTACTGCAAAAGGTCCTTGGTCATTCCGTCATGACTTCCCACGTATATGGAAAACAGTTCATTCTTTGATTTCGTTCTCCGATGCATAGGGGTATCAGGGACTTAAAACTTTACCAAGTTTGTGTCATTTTTCAGGATTCTTCATCCGACCATTCTACAAGATGATGCTGGGGAAGCAGATAACTCTGAACGACATGGAGTCTGTGGTGAGTAAAAGCAGCGTGTCGAGTAGCTATCACAGGCTGTCCTCACCCTACGCATGGTGTCAGAATGGTGTTTGCAGTCACAGCCGTTGTGATAGGTACAGTCACTCTGCATGAACAAGAGGGAGGAATCGCTTGCTTGAAAGTTAATTGATTTCCATGATTTCTGTAATAAGCAAATTATGGTAAAATTTTGAAAAAAAAAATGGTACTAAAGGTAGGTAGGTATGCCTAAGTCTCAGTTCCCACTGCTTAACCAGCGAAGACTTGATGAGCAGATTAAACCTGAGGGACACCCGAAGCCCACTGTAGCCTTGTTCTCCATCTGAAATGTGACAAGATTCCACCTTCTGTTTTATGCCTTCACAGAAGTGGTGGAGGCGAGGCCAAAAATTAGTCTTCTAGACATGGTCATCCCAACACAGGAAATTAGTGATAACTACAGAAAGGGAGGATGGGATGTGTTTAGACAGGCTGGTGCTCACATGGCGTGGTGCTTGATGCTTACCTGGACTGACTGTCCTTGGACAGGAAAGATCTACAAAATAAGACATGCCCTTCTTTTCAGAGGACACTTGCGTGTCTGGCTTTCTCTATTTATGTATATTCTGTGGTGTGTGTGTGTGTGTGTGTGTGTGTGCTTGTGTATATGTGCATGTGTATGTGTGTATATGTGTGCATGTGTGTATGTCTGTATGTGTGTGTATATATGTGACTGTGCATGCATAGTATGTGTGTGTGTGTGTGTGTGTGTGTGTGCACGTGCACACTGGCCTGTGTGCACTAGGTGCATTTTTGTCCTCTTGGAAGAATTGCAGCTCTGTTTTCATATGGTCACTTGAGTTAGAAAGCTGTGTATCCCTCGGCCTCACTGGCACATGGACTGTGCATGTCTTGGGCAGAGCTGCAAACGTGAGCGAAGCCGGTGATGCCAGCCAGCGTTCACTCTGTGACCTCTGCAGACGGGGTGGCGTCTGTAGTCTCAGCTCAGCCTCACTCTCCCTTCAGCCTCCCCTTTGTCAATGCTTTGTGCATCTGCTTTATTGTCCTGAGGAGGCTAGGAGCACAGAAATTGCTTCTGTGTCCCCTCAACCCCCAGTGAAGGAAGGGGGTTGAGAGAGGATTATCACTGTGTACATAGTCTAGCTTGGCTTAGAGCACACAATCCTCCTGCCTCTACTCAAGTGTTGGGATTCTCAGTGTTCAACACTGTGCTGCTCCGGAAATGGTTTTTAACGCCCAAGTCTGTGGTTCCTATTGGCCACTAGTGTTTGGGGTGTTTGTTATTATTGTGTTATCTTAATTAATATGTATAAGGAAAGTGGTACATGCAAATGAGCATCGGTGCCCATAGAGGCCAGAGGCATCAGATTTCCCCTGGAGCTGGAATTACATGTGATTGTGAGCTATCCAGTGTGAGTGCCGGGGATCAAACTTGGATCCCCAAAGAGCAGTACACATTCTTAAACTTAACCACTGAGCCCTCTCTGCTCTCCCTGCAGAGCATTAGTGTCTAAAATGTGATATGCATATGATTTTCAGTCTCTTGAGCATGTCATGTTCGAACCTAGCAACAGAGACTTCGGGCATGAGCAGAAGGGACCTGATACCACGACTCTTTTCTAAAACACAGCTCTGTTTTTTGCTTAAATTAATGGGCAAGGAACACTGAACGAACAGGAAAGGCCAGAACGCAAAAGTGTGGTGTATAGTTAGAATACTGTCCTGTGTGGTCTCTGATATCCTCACTCTTAAAAGACAGGAAGTCGGTGGGTTAATCTATGTGGACCTGAGACAGGCTTGCTGTGGCCACAAACAATGTAGCCAGGCTATAATCCCAGTTCCTGGATGCTGAGTCCGGAAGAGGAGTTGGAGACCACTGTGGGGCTCCCAAACAAGACCCCTGAAATGTCTAGCCACTCTAACTCCCCTCCCTTAGCCACAGAGAACAGGGAAAGTCACAAATACTGTCACTGTCCACGAGTTTGTGTTTACATTAGTGGACGATGGGGCTAGAGAGATGACTCAGTGGTTAAGAGTGCATGCTATGCCGGGCGGTGGTGGTGCACACCTTTAATCCCAGCACTTGGGAGGCAGAGGCAGGCAGATTTCTGAGTTCGAGGCCAGCCTGGTCTACAGAGTGAGCTCCAGGACAGCCAGGACTACACACAGAGAAACCTTGTCTTGGGAAAAAAAAAAAAAAAAAAAAAAAGAGTGCATGCTGCTCTTGAGGAGGACTGGAATCGGGTTCCGAGCATGGCTATAACCAGCTGCCCATAACACCAACCAGCTCCTGAGGCTCTGACCTGAACACATGGGCACATGCGTGCATGCGCGCGCGCACACACATACTCACACACACACACACACACACACACACACATAAGCAGACACAAAATAATCTTTAAGTAAATAAATGGGAAGTGGTTTTGGTAGAGCGGGCTCCCTGATGCTGGTGAGTAGCATCACCCTTGGGCGTTGTGCATGGAATTACATTAGAACAAGTTTATTAATTAAGGGGCCAGGCAGGTTTGTGTTTGGAAAGTGAATGCTCACGCTTCCTCTCCGTGTCATCCCTATAGGACAGCGAGTACTACAATTCTTTGAAGTGGATCTTAGAGAATGACCCCACGGAACTTGACCTCATGTTCTGCATAGACGAAGAGAACTTTGGGCAGGTATGTGGGTTTGGCTCCTGCTGTTCCTGTTTCCTTTGCCACGGGCTATATAAGCATGGCATAGCTTAGACAGAAACAGCCACACAGACTTCCAGCTAGCTGTCAGCAGCACCGTGAGCAGCATTTAACTGTCATGCCAGGATCCCTGTCACGGGTTTCCTGTTTCCCTCCAAAGCCGGTAAATTCTAAACGCTGCTGGGGTCTTGACCAGCACCCCAAGTTCTAAAAGTCAGCCAGGCATTTTAAACTTTGTATCCGGAATGGAGGTTCTTCTGAAAGCAGTGTGAGTGTTCGCTTTAGCAGGGTCCACATGTGGTCAGGTACCAGTGATGAGCGGGGACACCGAGATCTTTCCCTCTACTTTATGGCCCTGTTGTTATGATGACGTGGCTCTTACACGTTCAAGGTTGTTTTGTTTTGTTTTGTTTTGTTTTGTTTTGCTGTTCTTCCTTATATCGCCAGTCAGTATGGATTCATCATAGTGACTTCTAGAATGGAAGTCACCTGGCTGGGATCTTTGTGATTACTCCCAGGATCCAAGGTTGTGTTCATCTTAAATACGGAAACTTGGGGTTAGTTGTCCCCTAGTGACAGTATTTCTTGGGAAGTATCTGCAAGGAAGTTTACGTTTATACAAAAACCCAGAGATGATTCCTGTGTCTGCACAGCCTTGGGATGAACTGAGGAGAGCTTACAGTAGGACTGCCATGTGGAAACAGACTTGATCTGCATGGCTTGAGGTAGTATCAGGTGTGTACTGCACCACCGAGACAGGTGGTGGCTGGGACTGAGAGGTAAAGTCAGGAATTCAGCTCTCTGGTGTTTTAGAAATTATTTAATCCTGACCCGGAATTTCTACCCTGCCTTGACCCTTCAGTTCCTGGATAAAAGACACACACAACCTTTATATTTAACAAGCCTTAAACAGCCCAAGAGCTGGACAGGTATTGCCCTCTATGCTATTAGAATCTACTTTCCTATCTATAACCCCGAGTAATTACTGTTTCATCTGGGCTGCTCTTAACTCCAACTGGCCAGCCCTCAGGGCCAGTTATGAGTCACCTAACCCTCCTGCACCTTCGTCTTCTCCTTGTGGTCCTCCTCCAACCCCAAGCCCATGAAACCTAAACCCTACCTATGTCTCTTCTGCCCAGCTATTGGCTGTTGGCATCTTTATTTACCAATCAGAAATAACTTGGGGACAGGGTCACTTAGTGTCTACATGTGGACTCTCTCCTCTCTGAGGCAACCAGTCTTGGGGACCCAATATTAGCATTAGAATACAAGCAGCATCAGACCAAACCACTACATCCTGGCCTTCCTGGTTAGCGAAATCTTAGAGGATCCCAGAGCAGGGCGGTAGGGGGTTGATGTGGTGAAGGGGAAGCAGTGAGTGAAATTGGAACGTGGGGGTTGCAGATTGAGGATGTGACTGTGTAAATATCCGAGCTACATTCTCACCTGCATTCGGTGTGTTGGAGCAGGAAGCCAGCCCTAAGCGCTGGCAGTGGGAAGACCTGGAAGAAGCTGTTGTCCTTCCCAGTGTTGGGGAGGTTTGTAGAACAATGCCAGGCCCCAGAGAGAAGGAACCTTGTGACTTCATGTTACACCTCACTAGTTAGCCCAACCCTTGTCACACCCTGTGTTGATGCTTCAGGACTGGGGACCTAGTCACAGGGCAGGGTGAAAGAAGTCTTGGCCCTCCACCTCTGAGCACCAGGACCTTCCTGGCTCCTCCCAGTCCTGCCTGTCTCCTCTGATTCTCCGAGCTCCCCCTGGGAAGGGCCTGGAAGCACCCTGTTCCCTCTTCCTTCAGTTAAGATTTGCCCTTAACTTTCAGACTCCCAGGGAGCCATGCTTTCTCTTGTGGCTCTGCTTACAGGGCTGTCCTACCGCTGACCTTCTGCTGCTCCTTCCTAGCCCCACCCACTCCAGCCATATGACCTTATCCCATATGCAGCCCCACCACTGTCCCAGTCTGTGACCTACAGCTTCCTCCAACTGTGCTCTATTCAGCCACCTCCTTAGGCTCCTCCTAAAGAGCCCAGGCTCCTAGTGCTGCAGCCTTTGCCTCCTGTCTGTCTCCACAGTTCTCTCTCCTCAGTGGTGAAGGGGAAGTGTGATTTTAAGGTGCCCAGTTTCTGGTGTGTCCGTGTGTCCTAGTAACTGACACCTCTGTGGTTTCTCCTCCCTGCTCCCCTCCCTGGTCTTTACCAGCCTTGCTTTATAGCTCTGGTGTTCTGACAGCTTTTGGCCATTCCGACTCCTATCTCTTCCTTATCCCAGACCTCTCTCCACTGCCCCCTTCCCCAAGTGTTTCCCATCCATGATGTTCCCGAAATGCACGCAAGCGTCCTGTCACTTTCAGTATCCTTATAACTTGTAAAGGTCATGACCCCCTTACAGTCTCACACTACCCAGTCCTCACCACATCCATCATGTCGTCTGACACACCCTCCCCTCAGCTTTACATGTAACGGCCCTCTTAGCATGTCCATATGTGTGTCTTGGTGCCATGGTATTGGCAGTAACACGTGCCCTCTCCAGACCTGTGCATTCTCTCTGTCTTACCGCCTTTCCTACCCTCCTCCTTGTCATGGGCTATCTGTATACCATAAGCAGCTTGAAGTGCCTTATGTTGGCGTCGTTCCATGTGCTGCACATAATATATGTGCCTACTGCATGCCTCCTAAGCAGATAGAGGGCCTGGTACCCAGTACTCACCCAAATGTAGTTGTCAGCTAATTAACTGTCAACCTTGGCAGGATAGTACCTGTGTTTCACCTCTACTCCCCCTCTGCAGAGTAAATTGAGCTCTGCAACTCATTCTGACTCAAGATCAGCCCGTGGCCTCAAATGCCAGAAATCAGCCACTTCCCCAGGGTGGGACCAGTACCATTCCCTGGGTAATAGGGACATGCCTTCTGGCCATGGAGTTACTGTGTCTCACTGCTTAGTTAGAACTGACAGAGTTTGATGTTTGGTACCTATTGCCTTGTCAAGTGGAACTGCTGCTTTGCCTTGTTGGGGGAGGTGTTTTCCTCCTGGCTTGTGAGAACCTGGGGCTGCTGTGAGCCCTGGCCCTGGAGAAGGTTCAGTATGTGAGGGAGGGTTGAACATGGAGAGGCCAATGCTTCAAAGTGATTCTCTAGTACTGCAACCCTTTAATACAGTTCCTCCTGTTGTGGTGACCTCCAACCATAACATCATTTTATTGCCATTTCATAACTGTAATTTTGCTGCCACTATGAATTATAGTATAAATATCTGACATGCAGGACATCTGATAGGAGACTCTGTGGGGGTCAAGACCCATAGGTTAGAACCACTGCTTTAGAATATATCCTGTGTGGGTGTAATCCCCAGGAGATGGCAGAGTAGAACCAGCAGTTCCTAGTTCAAGAGGCTGAGGCATGGGACTTCTGGAAGCCATGTAGTAAGAAGCCAGATAACAGCTCACCAACAAATCTTCAAGGCCAGAAATGTCAGAGGACAGAATCCCTTCTCAATGGGTAGTCACCCTAGCTGGCCCGCAGAGGGGAAAATCACCTCAGATATTACTGCAGCCGATGACACAGGAACCCTGTGGGATTTTTTTGCAACTGAGTAAGTCATAGGTCTGTGATACTGAAAAAGATTCCTTAGAGAAAGATAATGAAACAAAGGTTGAGGAACATTAGTCTGAGAGAAGAGAGCATGTGGAGAGAGGTGAAGCAGAGTCATGGCAAGAGCTGATGACCCCTCGAGGCCAGTTAAGGAGCAAGCCTCTTTACACCTAACATGTATTTCTGTCTTAATCAAGTGTATGTCTTTCTGTCTTTCCTTGCTACTTGGTGGTGGTGGTTGGTGGTGATGATGATGTCTTATTAATTGAGTTTTGTTTGGTTTTTTAAGTTCCTGTATTTTTGCCTCTTGAAAGAAATTCCATGCATATTTCTTTATGTAACTTAATTTCTTGTAACAAACAGAATTCTAGAATTTGCATCTCTGGGATGATGGTTGATTGGAATTTGGATCTCTGTGGCCTTGACGGATATTCTCTGGTGTTTATTTTTTTCACCTTGAACATAATTATATTTTTTATGACTGTTTGGTCGGTTGGTTGGTTTATTGTTTGGGGGGTGGTTTTTTTTGTTTGTTTGTTTTGGTTGATTGGCTAGTTGATTGTTTTTTATGGGTTTTTTTGGTTTGGTTTGTTTTTTTGTTTGTTTGTTTGTCTGTTTATTTGGGGTTTTTTGTTTTTTGTTTTGTTTTGTTTTTTTAGATAGGGTTTCTCTATGTAGCCTTGGCTGTCCCGGGAGCTCCCTTTGTAGAGCAAGCCATCCTCAAACTCAGAAATACATCTGTCTCTGCCTCCCGAGTGCTGGGATTACAGGCATGAGCCACCACTGCCCAGATCATAATTACTTTTTTTTTTTTTAATAAATGAAACCACATGAAAATGTCACTCTTCTCCATTGTTGCTAATGTATGAAGAATAATTAAGACTCATAAATAACCATAAAATATTCTGCCTCTAATGGTAACATCTTTAAATGCATAGGGTCTTGAAAGACTTAAAAGGGTTCATTAGACACCGTACAGAGCCCATTGCTGGGAAATGTTTTTGAATGAACTGCACTTCCCTTTTATAGTAAGATGTTAATCAATAATAATTCGAACACCTTCATGTTATTGACTGTTGTGTTTTCCTCTAATCACAGACATACCAAGTGGATCTGAAGCCCAATGGGTCAGAAATAATGGTAACCAATGAGAACAAACGAGAATATATTGAGTACGTATGCATGTATTTATCACATTTGCCTTGTGTGGTATGTATGTGCTGTATGTGTGCTTCTGTCTGCAGGTGTGCATGCATGAGAGGGGACGGAAGTCAGTGTCCTGACTTCCTCAGTCACTGTTCACCCTATTTTTATTTTTAGAAACAGAGCCTCTCAATGAACCCAGAGCTCATCAATTCGGTTGGGCAGCCTGGCCATTGTGCTCCACCTCCATGCAGAAGGAGCACACCCTCATGCCTGGCTTTTTTGTTTTCTCCACGGGTGCTGGGGACCAGAAGACAGGTCTTTACATTCACTCAACAAGCACTTAAACAACTGAGCCATCCCCCCAGACCTTTAACATTGACCTTTGATAAACCAAATGGCTTATTTGGTTGTCCCTTCCCAAAACTGTTTGTGCATACTGAGAATGTGAACTTACTGTCATTTTGTTGTTGTTTTGGAGACAGGGTCTCTCTATTTATTGTGTAGCTCTGATTAACCTGGAACTCATTCTGTAGAACAGACTGGACTCAGATTCACAGAGATCCATCTGCTGTGATTAGTGGTGTGCACCACCACACCTGGCTTCTCAGTATAAACAAAAGAAATGTCTTTTTGCTTGGCCTACTGGCCCATTGAATGTGGAAAGGAAGTTCACCTTCCCTCATGGCTTCTGTGAATTACAGCAGCAAGAAGAAAGGGTACATTATAGTAACGTGGCAGATCCTCTTCAGGGATCTTGTCTGAAACAGAATTGCAGCTGTGGAAATGTCAGATACTAATGGGGTAGAATTAGGGATTGCCAAGGTGCGTGTGCGTGTGCGTGTGTGTGTGTGTGTGTGTGTGTGTGTGTTTTCTATGTGGAAATTGAGGAAAGTGTTGCAAACATGATGAGTTTGTTCTGATAGTCGCTGGCTCTCAACCTACCCTCAGCCTCATGTTGTGGAACACATGGTTGAGTGAGTCCTTCCTGAAGTGTGGCTCCTGAGAAGGTCTAGGCATTTATAGCAGGCAGAGAGAACTTTGATTGAGTCCATTACATCTTCCTCCTTGGTGGTAACAGCATGATTCAAACAATTCTGAGCTCTTCCAAGTGTCACTCTGGTCTGCGCATGGGCCGAAGTCAGAGAAACAAAGCTGTGTTTGGTTCACAGGCCGTTTCTGTACTCTGATGTGTTCCTCCAACACTAAGCTCGTGTGCCGTCTGCATTCTTTCTCAACAAGCTGAATGACCTCTTTTCTTCTCATCTGAAATGTGTCACTGAGCTTAACTTCAGAGGACAGGCTGGGGTCTTACATTTTAGTGTGATGTAAAGAAAACCCGCTGACTGTCTAATCAGGAAGAAATGGAGAACCTGGTAGGCTTTACTGGGAGACCCTGATGAAGCGTCAGACATGTGCAGGGAGGGGAATATTCAGTTTGGGTTTGGTTTGATCTAGCTTTTGTCACTTTCAGATAAAAGTTCATGACACTTACTAAATAACCTAGAAATAAGACACTTGCCTGAGTACACTAATTGGTATACTTGCTCTGACCATGGACAGTTTTACTGGATGACACCTGGCACATACCATTGGCCTTCTTTGTAAAGTTCCAGTGTTAATTTTTTTTTTCCAAAATTATCCATCCCAGAATGGCTGAGGCCTAAGGATGCTGACACATGTCATGTAGGCCAGGCAGGGTCTCAGCTAGGTAAGATTGAAGTCCTTCACTGCGTCCCGGCCCTGCAGTGTCCTGGTACTGGAAGGATGAGGCTGGGCAGCGGACTGGAGCCTGGCCCTGTGGTGTGGACACCGCTGAGCACTGTGTGTGCTGCAGGCTGCTCCTTTCAGGTGTCATCTTGTCACCCCTTGAAGATGAGGACAGAGCATGCATTGCTCACACTGTCTCAGGGACAGTTTCAGGGACTTCCACATCCTACCATTCATCTCTAAGCTTTAATATTACAAGTATTAGTGTGAGCCACACATGGTAGCACACACCTTTAACCTCAGCCCTGGGGAGATGGACTCTCTTTCAAAATATTTCCTTAAATATTAGTGTGTATAATACATGATATGATAATATACTCTTAACAAACATGTTCGTACCGTTCACATGCATGAAAATGGGTAGGTATGAGTGATCACATCCTGACTTTTCTTTTTAATTAAGAAATCTTTACATTTTTTTAATGTGTGTGGGAGTTCTGCCTGAATACATGTCTGTACACCACAGTGGGTGGCAGGTAGAGGCAAGAAGAGCATCTGACCCCATGAGACTAGAGTTACAGACAATTGTGAGCTACCATGTGGGTGCTGGAAGTCAAACCCAGGTCCCTTGGAAGAGCAGCTAGTGCTCTTAACCAATGAGCCATGTCTCCACCCCTCCCTCTCCTTTCTTCCTATCTGTGGAGCACTTTGATCCCCTGAGGTCTGAGGTAGGCTGGGAGATTGGCTATGTTCTTGACAACCTCAGAGTGTGGATTTCTCATGATGTTGTAGTGAGCCTTAAAGCAATTCAGGGTTCCACAGTGGGTGTGCCCAAGGAAGCTGCTCCCCGCCTCACCCTACTGTTGTTCGGGGTTCTCTCTTCATACCACCCAAGGAGCAGCAGGCCCGGGCAGAAGGAGACCACTATCAGTGGACAACAGGGGTGACTAAGTATGTGCCTTTTTCTCTCACAGCTTAGTCATCCAGTGGAGATTTGTGAACAGGGTCCAGAAGCAAATGAATGCCTTCTTGGAGGTAAGCACCGCTAATGGGGTCAGGGTGGGGACAGAGCCAATACGGGCTGCTTATACCATTCTGATGGCCATTTCCCAAGATAGGAATGTCCCATAACACGCTGCCTTCTTCTTTTCTTTTTAAAGTGTTCTCTTGCTTTGCTTTTCTCCATTTTTAATTTGTTTTAATAGCATTGTTGCTTGCTTGCTTGCTTGCTTGCTTGCTTGCTCGTTTGCTTGCTTTAGACAAAGTTTGTATAGCACATGCTGTCCTGGCACTGATGGTAATCCTGCCTCACTCTCCTGGGAGTAGGACTATACCGACTTCCACCTGTATTCATCTGTTTGCTTTGATTTTATTTATGTGTGTGCACACCCAAGCACACACGTGAGGATCATAGGACAACTCTAACAGAGTTGGTTGTCTCCATCCACCATGTGGGACCCAGGAATGGAACTTAGGTCCTTAGGCTTGATGACCAGCACACTTACAGGCTGAGCCTTCTCACCACCAGACCACTCCACATCTGCTCTAGAGCCATTACCTTGAATTTCTAGAAGTATCCTGAAGTATGAGAAGTGCTTATAGTGGTGCCTGCTACTGTGCTCCTAAAAACTGTGCTCTCTCACTCAGACTACCCAACCCAGATGTTCCAACCTTCCCTATACAGCCCTCTCTTCTGTGGCTTTACACTTCCCACAGATTCACTCGCCCTTTTCATTCTCTGGGCTTTTATAGTCTATCCAGATACCGTATTTCTCCCTGTGATGGAATGAAGCCACCACCTCTCCCATGCATAGTCTACCACAGGGGAGAGTCCCCAGCCCCTTCAGGTTGTGGGGGTCTTTACCATAAAAAGCATTTCATGTTGGCAAAAGTGAAATTCCTTTTTAATAATAATGTTAGTTGTTTAAAAGCAGCCAGAGGGGCCAGTGAGATGGCTCTGCAAGCAAAGGTTCTTGTGGAACAAAGCCTGACCACCTGAGGTCAAGCCCCCAGTGCCACTGGTAGGAAGGAGGAGGGAACCAAGTCTTGCAGGTTGTCCTCCACCTCCACACGTGTGTATATACACACAATAAATAAATAAATAAAATTTTAAAGGAAGAACCCAGACTCCCTGGTAGTCATTTCCAGAGTCATTTCCTCTCTCAACAAACAGCTTCCTTAAACACAGCGGCCTGTACATCGGAGAGACAACCCTCCCCTGAGCAGGAAGTGCACAGACCTCAGGCCCTAAGGATGTAACTTGTCGGAGTGAACTTGGTTTTGGCACATTTTGCACTGAATCTAAGCAAGAAGTCTGAGGATTCCCAGCCCTGCCTAGCTTTGGGGAACCACAGCGTTGAGAGTTTCTTCCTGGGTCACCCCCTAATTGATAACAGCCCAGGGGCCAGAGTCTGGCTTGCTGGTTTCCTATCAGTTCTAAACCAGCTCACGCAGTCCCCCCCCACACACATACCTTTTCTCCTCTGACCATGCCTTCAGCGTGCTATTTTTAAATGTGCCTCTCACACATTTGTGTCTACGCACGGACACAGTGACTCACAAGAGTGTGTCATAAATGGCTTTTGCAATCCACCTGCCTGCAGCATCCCTCATATCTCAGGGTTTCAAAAAGTGCTCAAACACTGGAAGCTTCTAGACTATGTATGCATTTTCACATCCTATACCCGACTTGCTATTATTGGAACTGCGGTCACCTGACACTGCATTGCCACGTGAGCCACCAGTAAAGAGTGAGCTAACCACAATCTTACTTTATCCAGGAAATTGTTCTTTTTTTTTTTTTTTTGAAGAAAAGGATGCTTAAGATATTTTTATCTTTTCAGGGATTTACAGAACTCCTTCCAATCGACTTGATTAAGATTTTTGATGAAAATGAGCTGGAGGTTTGTGTTATATTTTTTATATAATATAAAGTACAGGAACTTAAGTATCTCCTAGCTTTGTAAGTGGCATTATTGTATTCTCCGACACATGGCATATTGAATGCACATAGACGGAGTCTAATGTGTGCTCCTCTTGTGAGGCCTGTCTTCTGATCTGGGGAGCCTAGCAACAGTAACCAGGTAGATTTGTTGCCTGTGACAGGGCAGTTGTGGGCATTTCTAGTGAAGAGAGAGTTCTCAGTTCGCGTGTCCCACCCCACTTACCTCTGATCCATCTCCTCACTAGTTGCTGATGTGCGGCCTTGGTGACGTGGACGTGAACGATTGGAGACAGCACTCTATTTACAAGAACGGCTACTGCCCCAATCACCCTGTCATCCAGTGGTTCTGGAAGGTAACACCAGCTCTCGGTCCAGCCTCTGCTTCAGGCTCTTCTTCCCAGCCAGGACAGAAGTCCTAAGCTGTCAGGCCCCTGCTGGGGAGGTCAGAGTGGGATCAGCTTTAGGCATAGGAATGCTTTTGAACACTTTTTTTTTTCCAATAGCCATTTTGATTTTTATATCTTGCAACCAAAAGATGAAAATTAAATTTTATTTACCACCTCAGGGCCAATGTTTCTATTCTGTTGGGCTCAGGAAAGCTTTAGCAAAGACAGTAAATCAAACATTTTTTTTTAAAAGCCAGTTAATTCCTCTACCAAAAAAATGTTTTAATTAAAAGATTATTTACATACAAAAAAGGAACTCAGCTCTACATGGTAGCATATACCTTTTGTTTGTTTGTTTGTTTTAGATAGGGTCTCACTATGTAGCCCAGGCTAGCCTCAAAATAGAGATTCACCTTCCTCTGCCTCCAGAGTGCTGGGAATAAAGGTATATGCCTCTAAACTGGAAGATGCTGACTTTAAAAAAAAAAAATTAAGAAATCAACTAGTGTGTTTTAACTTCTGAATGTCTGTTATTTATATATCATGTGCTGGTGAAATACAGAGAGGAAGAACCAGAATTTTCAAAGATTAGGACTCAGATTTTGTTTTGGATCATCTTATAAAAGATTAAATCGAATGCCCAGGAAAGCCAGTTCACTTCAGGAAGGTATACAGATTGTTTCACAGACCCGTTTTTGACTCCGGTTTCCTTCTGTTTGTAAAATGTCATTAGGGAACTTTCTGTGGCTCTATCTCGTCACCTGGCTTCCCCTTGTCTAGATAAGTCTGGAACACTGCCTGGTTAGAACTGGCTTCAGGGAGGCACCAGATCTCAAATGCAGAAACCTGAACTTGAGCCTGTCAAAGGGTTTTCTTTTTATATCATTTATTTTGACCTGTTGGCAAAAGAAAAAAAGGGGATCCAGCAATTCTAAGATTAGAGAGGCCGGGATTGTAGCAACTGTTATAAAGGGGGAGGCGATGCCAGTTTTCAATGGAGTTGTGGTATAGGTGATTCCGTGGCAGTGTAAATGAGAATTTGGTTGCCTGCCTGCATTGCAGTAGTGTATGGTGTGGCATGTGCTGCATGGTGACAGTGACCTTCTGCCTCTGACAGGCCGTGCTACTGATGGATGCTGAGAAGCGGATCCGGTTACTACAGTTTGTCACAGGCACCTCCAGAGTACCCATGAATGGATTTGCCGAACTTTATGGTGAGTATGGCATGCCCCAGAGTCCTCTGCCCTCCTGTGAGGATCCAAGCAGGCAACATCCAGCCATCTTGGCCCCTTTCCAGACCAGATGTACCTGTAGTAGTTCCACAGAAACCCACAGAGATGCAGAACAGAGGGCTTCAACCTTAGGCAGTATTTGTACAGAGACTTCCTCTCTTTCTCCCTACCAGGTTTTTCAGAATCACCCATATGGTTGAAAGCTCCTTCCTCCAGACTGCAGGGCTCTTTCTTCTCTGTGCATCAAAGCTCACATTGCACGACTTTCTCCTGAGGCAGAGAGCCGTGCAGACCAGGGATTTCCCACAGGACTCAGCCAGGCAGACAGCACTCTGAGACTCCTTGCCTTTTCCCTAAGTTCCACCACAACTTTGTTCTACTGCTTCAAGCATGTTGATGCGTCTTTTTCTGTTTTTTTCCCAGGTTCCAATGGTCCTCAGCTGTTTACAATAGAGCAATGGGGTAGTCCTGAAAAACTGCCCAGAGCTCATACATGGTAAGTAACAAAATCCTTGTGGGGGCTGGGAAACGGCTCGGTGGGGATGAGCATTCGTTGCTCTTTGCAGAGGACTTGGGTTTGGCTCACAGCCCCTACCTGATGGCTCACAACCATCTGTAACTCAAGGTCCAGGAAATTTGACTTCCACAGGCACCAGGTACATGTGTGTCACACATACATGTATGCAGAGCACACACACACAAACACAAATGAATCTAAAGCTGACCTGATCTCAGGTGCCAGCTGGGTGAAGCTGTCATGGGAGCATAGAACACTGAATTCTGCCCACCAGTAGCTTCCAGTGCAAAAGAACAATAGTGTAAGGTGACAATATAAATCTTTCCATAAAGTAGCAAAGCTTAAGCCATGATTTGGATGGGCCCAGTGTCCTTGCAGGTTGAAGGGTTTAAGTCTCCGTGCTCCCAGGACTTCTCCTGTTTTAGAGCAGATGCTTCCTTGCTTACTGTCTCTGGTTACAACAGTTCCTACCTCTCACACACTTGGATTTTTTTTTAACTCCCACTTGACATTGGTTATTTGAAAATATGGTTAAGAGACGGTGATGGTTCTCCTGCCATCAAGCCTGACAGCCTCAGTTGGATCACTGGGTCCCACACGGAGAAAGAGAACCAACTCCTGCAAAGTGTCTTCCCACCACCACATGTGTGCTGTGGTGTACACACATGCATGTGATAAACAATTTCTTTTTTAAATAAAATTAAGGACAAAATCCCCCATAGTGGCATCAGTTTAAATGTGCTTCCATTCACACAGTCTAAGTGACCCATGGCACTGTGGCACCATCAAGTCTCTCTGGCTGGAGAGGGAGAAGGAAGGCCCAGGAATCGTCTTTGGAAGGGTCACACAACACCCAGGACAGGGACAGACACAGCCTAGTAGATTGTATAGCAGCATTCAGCAAGCTTCGTCTAGTCCAAACTCAGTTTCTGCACAGGCTTTTTCTTCCCTCTTGCTTTGTAGGATGTTGGAGGGTGTGGCCCTGCCTTGCTCAGCACGGTGAGGTTTAAAAGCACGTGCTGAGTATGCTAAGCTGATATGAGCACCCTTCCTCACCCACAATTCCCGTAAAGAGCCTTTGAAAACTGCCAGTGGGGGAGCAGGCTGCTGTGGGTGCCCTGTCCTCACCAGAAGGACCATTTGTGCACAGAACAGTGCACTACTACCTGTGTGGTCCTTACTGACATGCACACCAATTTCAGACTAGAATTGGCCATTCAGAGCAGGCACTGTCCACAGTTGTCAGCCTTTGCTCTAAGGAAGGATGTCTGTAGCTGTTCAGACAGCTTCCTTCCTGAGCTAACAGCCCTTAAATGCCCCTGAGCTGGGTAAGAGAGAATGATACTCAACAGGGGTGAGTTGCCTTAGCTGACATCTTTTGGGCACTTGTTCCCAGCCCCTTCTATGTAGATTCTCATCCAACCCTCCTAGACTCCTGGGAGAAGTCTCTCCCTTTTTGCACTTGAGCAGACAGAGTCAGAGAACTGAGTTGACATGCCCAAAGTCACAGATTGAAAAGGCAGGATTTGAACTTGCCCGGCAAACAAGTAGCCTTGATTTCTTGCAGATGCCATCCATCTGTATTCAAAGACCTCACTCTTGAAGGGTGAGCTATATCCTCCTTGCCCCAGCTGAAGCCTTGTTGCTATGGAGCATTCATATGCAGCTCTCTCTATCACTTTCTTTCTGAACCTCACTGGTAGCCAGCTGGATAGCAGAGATGGTTCAGTTTCCTGGAGCCCAGGACAACCTGGACTCTGTTCTAGGGTCTGCAACACTCCTAGGAATGGAGCCCATGGCACCCTGGCTTTACCTTCTTTCTTAAGGATCTGCATATATGCATGACTAGGAACTGTTTGTGTGTGTGTGTGTTGGTGTGTGTGTGTTGTGTAGGATGGGGTGCTCATACTACCAGTGTGGTCAGAGGACAACTCTGCAGTCAGTTCTTCCTTCCACCCTTGTGTGGCTTTTGAACATTGAGCCAAGACTCCAGGCTTGCCTGCAAGCGCCTGTACCCGCTGGGCCATCTCACCAGACCACAGTTTTAGTCTGTATATGTTGGTGCTTGTCTTGTCTTTGAATCTCCTTCCCAGCAGCAGAGGAGCCATGGATAGTTGGAAGATTCCTTCCTTTTCCCTGTTGATCAGATAGCTTGTTTGACGTAGACACTTTCATAGCTAGAAGTCGGCTTTGGATAATAAAAATGTGACTGTCTTTAATTCCCTCGCTCAAACAGACAATGCCTCTATTAGCCAAAATCAGAGATGCAGCTATGGCCAGGAAGGGCCGCTCACCTCTACTTTCCGTTCCTTTGGCAGCTTTAATCGCCTTGATTTACCTCCATATGAAACCTTTGAAGATTTACGGGAGAAACTTCTCATGGCTGTGGAGAATGCTCAAGGCTTTGAAGGTGTGGATTAAGGAAGGCCTCCAGCGTCTGGGGACACTGCCCTTCCAGCAAGTTCCGAGTGCACTTTTGCATTTGCCTAGCAGACTTTTGCAGAGCCGGTGGCAGAAGCAGTCGCCTGGCTTGGCTCTGGAGCCCAGCTTGTCCGAGCCCTGCCCAAGTTCCGCCAGGGAACCCAGCCCCAGCTCAAGTGCCGCCCCCCTCACCGCCGATTCTCAACTGGTTGACGTGTACACTGATTACATTTCAGGAGGACGTATTCTATTTATGTTGTGCCTCTGCAGGCAAAGCCCTTAATAAATATTTTGCATACTTTCTAATGACAATGAATGGAATTAATCACACTACAGGTATAGTATTACCACTCATGTTTACTTTTTAAAATGATTTAGACTGATTTTCAGATTTTATTTCATTACAATTAAAGATGTCTCATGTACTTGGAAAAGTGAGCATATTTTTTTTTTGTATTTGAATTTCAGTGACTTTTTTTTTTTTGAAGTACGTTGACACTTCCAGCCTCCTCTCTATTAGAATTGGAAGACTAATTTTTCTCCAAAAGCCTTCTACAGACAAATACTTTTGAAAGAACTTCAAATATAGCATTAAGCATAATATTTTTTTCCATACTCAAAATGAAAATAAACTGGATATTACCTTTTTTTGTACAAATTTAGATCCTAGGTCCAGGCTGGAAGAATTGTAACATAGCATGATATCTTTGTGTTAACTTGAAAGGAATGACTCCATTGTCCCCTAGAAGTACTGACGCGTGCCATCACACATTTAAGACAGGACTGGACTGTCATCTCGCATCAGAAACCGTTACAATTTCCTGTTGCTGTACAGCCTCCTCTGAACTCTCTTCTCTCTTTGGTGTCCATAGAGACATTTCCAGTGGTATTGCTTGATTCAAAACCAAGGAAGCCAGAATCACTGATCTTCTGTCTCTGTGATTGCTAAACAGTAGCCAAATAACCCTTCTTTGCTGTATCCACGTCCCTTCTGAAGGCACTTTATGGAGGTCACATCAGGTTTGGTTTTGTTTTTCTTCTCACGGATATCACGCGCAGTGATTGCTCCTTCCCCCCTGCACACATCTGTCCGGTGCAGTGTCTATCAGTTGTGAACTTGGCTGCTAGTATTTGAACCCAGATGTGACGCCGAGCCTCTGCACCGATCTTCTCCAACGGTTCTGTAATTTCTACTCAACAACAAGGTTTTACTTACTGTACACTTAACCAAGTTGTGTGACATATGACCTACTTTGCATGCTCCGATTCTATGTACTGCCCCCAGATCGTGTCTGTTGTGTGCTAGTTTAAAGTGACCTAGAAAGCCCAGTGGCGACCACTGAGCTCAGGCTGCCTGGCTGGCAGTGGCGGGAGAGCGAGGGTGTCTGCAGTTTGTAAGTCTCGTTCTGTTGTGTTCTGAGAAGATGCCTGAGGCAGTGTGGGAGTTTCAACACCCACACTGTCCCTTTAACTTGTGTTGTCCTAGACCCTGTCCTGTAAGTTAGGGGACATGGGGTATTTTTGAACTCTTGCCGGTTGTGAATAAGACGAAAAGACTGTGGTCTCTGTTACATAAAAAGGATCTTTGGTATAAGAAATTATCCGTGTTTACACAGCTGTGGATGCCATGAAGAAGCCATGGACACTCTTGGTGAGTGAAGCCCTAGACAGTGGCATCCAACCAAGCCAAGTGTTGGCTTCTATGCATATGCTATCGAGTTATTACAGAAGCAGTTAACACTCACTGTTCTTGCCTCTGGTGAGATATTTTTCTCCTGTAGTTAACAGATATTGGTTGGGGGGAGGGAGATACTTTTTAAAAATAACCTTACAAGTCCAGAACCATCTCTGTTATAGAGTGTGCCAAAGCTCGGGCTAAGCAGTGTATTTTAATCGAAGAAGAAACCAAAATCTATTCTAAGAACTAGGGGTTCTATACTTCTGTAGGCCCTATATTGAACAACATTATTCACTAAATGCAAAGTAGTTAAGTATTAAAAAATGCAAAAGGTGCCAGCAAGATGGCTCAGTGAGTCAAGATGCTTGTCACCAAGACTGACATCCTCAGTTCAATCCCTGGGACACACCTGATAGGAGAGAACAGACTTTTACAAGTTGTCCTCTGACCTGGCAATTTAAAAAAAAAAGAAAAGAAAAAAGAAAAAAAGAAAAGATTAGAAATAGGAAAAGAGAACTTAATTCTGATCATCTCTAAGTCAAGAGCAGAAAGAAATTATTAAAATACACTCCAGGGAATACTTGAAAGGCAAGTCATTGTGAATAACACTTCAATTCATTGGCCCATGATAATTTCAGATTTTAACACCTGTTACTCTTATTGGAGATCAGAGAGTTGGCCTGTTAGAAAGTAAAAACACAGCACCGTTTCCTGTTCCTCTGCTTTGTGAAGTTTCACTTGTTGCCTAAAATGCCCAATGCCTCGTCTCCAGACCTTGCTGCCCTTGCCTGGACATCCTTGTACAGTAATTGTAAATGGCAGTGAGGAATATGACGTGCCTGAGGGGCTGTGGCAGGTCATTCTCTGGATCTCCCTGCTCCAGCCAGGTGCTGTTTCCTTCTGAGCTGTGGAGACCCCATCATCCTGTCTCCCTGCAGACAATAATTGTGGAACATTTACCTTGAGTGGGTTCCAGGACTCTTATTCCACTGTGGAAGGACTTCGAGAATCATGTGGCTCTCTTAGGTTCCTGCCCCTTTTACTCTGTGGTGAACCCGGGGTTAGATAGCCTGCTGGCTCCAGAGCAGGTCGTGGCAGACATTAGTCTATCCTAGGTGTCCTCAGTGTGCTGTCCTTGTCTATCTGAAACACCCATCTCTACTTTTCTGTGGCCGGTCCTCCAACAGTTCACAAGGACCAGAGATGTGGACTTTATTTCTGTTCCCAGGACTGATGTAGCTTAGTGGCAAGTGTTTACCTAGCATGTACCTCGTTGTAGATTTGATTCCCCATTGCTGGGGCTGGGGAGGGGGTGGGTAAGGAAAACAATTTCTTTTTCTGAGGACCTTTAGCAAGAGACAGTTAGAAAGGCCTGCCATTCGGGTTGGAAATGAGATAAACCAGCATAACAAGAACTGTTTCCCCGCAAAAGGCTCAGCACCCGGCTCCTGGAAGTGAGGTACAAAATCTTTTAACCACTTCTGAATCTCACACAGCCTGTTGCTCTTGGGCTTCCTAGATTCCAGTCTGTTCTGAGAGTCAGGCTAATGTACAGCAGCTTCTAAACTGTCCTATATTGTCCTGGTAGTCTCCCGAAATGTGGAAGTCTACGAAGAAAGCCTAGATTCATCAGCTGCCCAGCCTCCATTGGGCTGGCCAGCTTGCCT